AAAAAAAAACTAACAAGATCAGATCTGTTTTTTAAATCTGGATAAAACCTCCAGTTTGTGACATTGGAGTGTGATAACTGATTCAAACAGACCAGGAGCATCCTGACCCCATCAGAGGGCTGATCCAGACTGGATCACACAGCAAGGAAACTTTTAAATAACTCAAAATTAAAAAAACATTTTAAAAAAGGTAGCGGATATTTGAAGGCATTTTTTTCACTGGATTATCTCAGCCTGCAGCCAAAGTTATATAGTGCTGAATGCAGGCGACCGGGGCGCTCTGTGGACAGAGACGCCATTCTCCCTGTTTGAAGTTGATTGTTCTATTGGAACAGATTTTGAAACGAGTATTTTAAGGGTGGAAAGTTTTCATATTGTTGCTTTAAAACACTCGCTTTCCTTTCACGTCTGTACCTGGATCGGGTTCATCTGGGATAAGAGTAAGCTGGATCACGTGATCCTAAAGTGGATTAACAAATCAGGATCATCTTTATCTGGATTAAACCTTTTTGAACAACCGGCGTCCTTGGTTTTAAACTGAACCATGAGAGCAGACGTTACAGTAACAGACATCTTCAGACTTCTCCTTCGATGTTTTGTTGTTCCTCAAAAGATTAACAGTGAAACTCTTATTAGTAAAGCAGTAGACATTCACATAGAAAGCTAAATTAAAATGAAGTCACAGCTAATGATTCACGTCATGCACAGGCTCATGCTGTCCTTCAGGGGAGACGGCTTCTTACTGGAGGTTTGCATAGTTTTAGAACATTTTGCGGGGCTGACACTTGGCTTCTCTCTGTGAGACCGACGTTTGGCTACTCTAGGTACGCTGAGGTGGGATGTGTTAAAGGATTAACGGCTCTATAAGGCTGTGGGGGGGTCTTCAGGTTTTATCAGCAGTTTTCCAAGAGCTTCTCCCGGGGGGAAGGTGCTCTTCTTCATCCACACATCGTGATGTAAAGCCACTAACAAAAACAAAACATGAAAATGTTAGAGATAACCTGAGAACGTGTTTGGGTTGAAAGTGAAGTGTTCTCACGGAGCAGGACTCACCTCTGTGATGTTCATCTCAGCCACTCCTGATCCCTCCTTGTCAATCTGCTGGAAAGACCCTGTTGAGGAACAGTTACCACAGTCGGTCAGCAGAGGTCGCCAAAGTACACACATTGTTTTACGCTGGTCAGAGTACAGATCTGGTCCATATGTGATCCACTACTGGAGGAGATGAGTCCCAAATATCCAGTGGGCTTTAAAGTAAACACAAGGTCGTTGTGCCCTAATGAAAGGATAAGCGCTAACATAACCTACCCTATGGACCTTAGTTTCAAACACAACCAAAACAGACCCAGACCCAGACCCAGGCTGTGTTGAAGTGAGCTGCAGGTAGTGACCTACCCGACCACATGGCCCCCTCTTGCCCCCACAACTCAACCATGTAGTCTGATGCACAGCAAGAAGTGGGAACCTCCCATCAGGTAGGTTCCTCGAGCATAATCAGGAAGGCCGGACAGTGAGCTCCAGCGCCCCAGAGTCACCCCCCTCCATGCCGGCTCTCAACGCCCACCCCACCAAAAAAATGGTTTGGACCTTATCTTCCATCCATCCATTTTCTTCCGCTTTTCTGAGGTCGGGACGCGGTCTTTCTCGCAATGTTTTCCAGCTCCTCCTGGGGGACTGCGAGGCGCTCCCAGGCCAGACGGGATATAAAATCCCTCCAGCACACTCTGGGTCTACACTGGGATCTTCCTGCCTGAATCGCAAACAGACATTGAGATGTCTGTTTCAAACATCTACATCGATGTTATCCCACAAAATATTAGTTCAGACGCCTTAAATCTCAACTAAAATCCCTGAAGCATGTGTTGTGATGTGACGGTGTAACGCTCCCTTCATCATCATCATCATCATCAACCTTTATTTAAGTTCTCGGAGAGATCATTGAGGGCGACCCTCATTTACAATGATGCTGAGAAAACATACATAAATGATAAAGAACGAGAAATGAGATAAAGCTACTGCAGAAAATAAAATCAATAAGAGAGCAATAAGAACAATAAAATATAAACACTGAAATAATTTAAAGGCTTGAAATGACTACAGTGATAAGTCAGTAATTAAAATCAAATAAAACAGTTACAGTCAGGTATTGGCTGGTTAAAAATAATATTTCTAAAGTGTCCATAAGAGATATAAGTGCTCAAGTTCAGGTCCTGTTGTAAAATAGTCCAGGAGTTTGCAGCACTAACACTAAAAGCAGTTTTCCCCAGGTCAGTCCTGGCATGAGGAACCTGGAGAACCAGCCTCTCTCTCTCTCTCTCTCGAGCGGGTTAAAAATGGAGCAGGGTTCGGATGTAACAAGGAGGTGATATATGATGGAAGCTTTCCAGTAACGGCTTTATAGATAAAAAGATGCCAGTGGTTATTGCGTCTCTCAGTGAGGGAGGGCCAACCAACTTTATCAAGCAGAATGCAGTGGGGAGTCGTTAAGCATTCAGAGAAACAACAATACTCACTGAACATGGCTTCAAGCTTCACCAGGCAGCAGATGAAGTTGTCAAAGTCGATCAGCTCGTTCTCTGAATACCGGGCGACCAGAACCTGGTTCAGTCTGTTGTTCAGTTTAAAACCTCCACAGGGAGAATAAACAGAAAAAGGTTTGGTTACTCAGCTGTGAGTACAGAGTGTACAGTAAACGATGGTGACCTTTTTACAATAAGTATACCTGCTGCCTCCACGGCAAGACGCATCTCATATGAGCTCATGGCTCCGGACTTGTCGAGGTCAAACTGTCTAAAAATGACCTGAGAGGCAAAGATGGGAACATTTATAAATCAGGAAGAAAGTTCAGATTATATTCTTTGACATCAGTCCCTCACACTTACCAGCCACTTTCTGATCTTGTTCCAGAGGATCTGAAACTCCACCAGACCTAAACGAGCACTCCCGTCTTTCTAAGGACTCAGGGTTAAGGAGGGAAACACAAGGTTGTTTTGCCTTAAAGAGAGACAGTGTTGGGAGGAGAGAGTGGGGAATGACATGCATAGACTGTATATATGAATGTTTGAAGCCTGAGTGACGACCCCCATCTGTTCCTGCAGGGGGCGCTGGAGTCCCATCGATGGCGGTCTCCATGCTGGAAATGCTGTCTCAGTCTAACTTTCAGTCAACCTAACGACAGGCTGAGAGCTGGAGCTGAGGCGGGTTTTAAACCTCCTGACAAACCGTTACACCGCGCCCACCTGTCAATCAGGTCAGCTACACGCCTTATTGTGAATAACTCTTATCCTTCATCAAATCAAAACTGATGAGTCATCAAAACATTCACCCCCCGTACAGTGTGTGTCCATTTCTCAGATCTCAACATCCAGATACATCCCGAAAAAAAAAATCACACCCCTGTTTCTTCCAGTGTGACATAACTGATAACGTCAGAGGATACATCCATCAGGTTGACCATGGTGCGACAAGATTCTGTGCTGAATCCGTCAGTCTTCAGATCTTTGTCTGAAAAATGAAATAAAAACAGTCTGATCTGAAAACAAACAGCAACTCAGAGGCTCAAAATAAAGGCCGTCCAGGAATCGGCTGGTGTTCACTACAGTGGAATCTAATACAGTAATGGGAGATGTATTACCGATATGTTAGGTATATAAACTTAGAAACTCACGGCGGGTGACGACTCTGTTCAGAATGGTCTTGAGCTCACGGATGGAAATCTCCATGTCCTGAAAAAACACACAAAAGACGAGAGAAGAAAAGTTTGTGACTCTTAAATCCAAGTAAGAAAACTTCATTCACTTTAAATTTCTTCACCTTAAAGTCTTTCTGTGATTTTTCACTCTTAAATGTAGAAATCAAGTCTATCCTCTGAAAATAACTCTGTGAGTCATGACTGTCTACAATGGGTGTAACACCCGAGTCCCACTGTCTGTCATGTTTTCAGAGTTTTCAGAGTCCTAACTTCACTTTGTTTACATCGCCAGGACGGCCGGCTGACTCCTCCCCTCGTGTATAAAAGTTGTTTAATTGAGGGACTAGAGAAAAGAAGAATAACATACTGTACTCACTGCTTAACTGTGTTTCTAGATCACGCTCATTTCAGGTAAATTTACATGCAGTGTGAAGATACCAGCATAATAAAGATCGCTAGCATTAGCATGCTAACACAACAATGCAGCGCGAGTTGTTTTGGTTTCATGCTGGTGCTCAAGGGCGACATCTGCTGGATCAAAATATCACATAAAAAGCCTTTAAAAAGGGGTGCTTAAAATAGATTTTATTGAAGTCGTTTCACGTCTTACCTCTCCTGACAGCTGAGCGAACATCGACTTGAAAGAGTCATCGATGTCGTCCTCTGTTATTTCATCCTGTGGGAACCACAAACATGAAGTCATCGTTGATTAAAAATATAAATAATGACTTTTCATATCGTGTTAATCATTTAATGGGTACGTACTTCATTTTCTAAATCTGCAGAGATTTCATCGTCCAGTTCTCTGCAAATTACAAAAAACGACTTAGCAACTTTTAGAAATCTGCAAAGTAAACACACATGTTAACTGTGATTGAAACCACATACTCTGTTTCTGATTGCTTCTCTGTGAACACCCGGAGGACGAAGTCGGCCTCTTGCCTCGGCTCAAAGGTGGAGGGCACGATGAGGTATTCTCCAGGAGGGAGGCGGAGCCGCGTGCTCACCTCTCGCAGGTTGATGAAGGTCTCAGAGCGGGCGCACGATGAATGGTTCAAAAAGAAATCTTTCTTCAAGTGGACGTTCTGGCAGCCCCTAAACTGAAGTGTGGGGGGGGGGGGGGGGGGACGATGCATGGGGGGAGATTTATTTGCATGTTTTTTTTTTTTTAAGGATAAATACTTAAAATGACTGTCAACACTCTGCAAAGCATAATATAGTTCATTTTGAAACTTTTAAATCTGTATAGAGGGATGGAGAACGGCTATTTGAACATTTTTTTGGATAATTTCTTCACTTGTTTCTATTTCTTTTCCTGCTCTTACCTTCTTATTGCTGTTCTCTTTTGATTTACTTTTAGCTCTTTTAGTTTCTTACAACTTTTTAAATCTTTGGTCCTCTTGGTCTCAGCTCGTGTTGTTGGGTCCTTGTTGTGCCTGGGTTCTAATGATGGTTCTTGCGATGGTTCTTATGATGGTTCTTGTGATGGTTCTAATGATGGTTCTTATGATGGTTCTTATGATGGTTCTTATGATGGTTCTAATGATGGTTCTAATGATGGTTCTTGTGATGGTTCTTGTGATGGTTCTTATGATGGTTCTTATGATGGTTCTTGTGATGGTCGGGTTCTATATGTCTGTTGTGTATCGTGCACTTTGGGTTCTTTTCTGTTGAATTGTATTTCATTATTTTGAGAATTTAGTATTTGTTATGTTCTTGTTGTTGTTTATGTTCTTCTGTGTTTGGTTTAGTTTGTTCTTGTTTTTGCTGTTTGTCAAAGCACTTTGTAAACCTGTGTTTTTTAAAAGCTGCTATATCAATAAAGTTATTATTATTATTTAACATTGCTGCAAAATAAAGAGGGGCGGCAGTAGCTCAGTTTTTAGGGACCTCAGGGACCTGAGGGGCCACCAGCTCAAGTCCTGGTGCGGATCAAGTCTGGAAATTGGTCTGGTAGCTGAAGAGGTGCCAGATCACTTCCTGAAAACTATCGATGTTCACAGCGTACACAGCAAAGCCGATGGTGTGCATGTCCTGACCTTGGCGTCGATATCTGCGGCGGTCCTTCTGCATGAGAGCAACCAAAAAACTGCACGCCACCTCGTCGTCCTCCGGGTCGTCGTCCTCCTCCAGCAACGTGATCTTATACTGAGGGTTGATCCAGAACGTGTCTGCACAGAAGATGCATTTGTGTCAGCTTGTTTAGAGGACCTGTGTACACAGTTTTTAGAGGAGGAGTGGGGGGGGGGGTTTCTTCTCACTGGGATGGTTCCTGCAGCCGCCGGCCGTGCTGCCTCTCCTCCACGTCCCGTAGAACTTGATGGTGTTCCAGTGGCTCATGCCATCCTCACTCAGAGCGTCAGGAGTCAAGTTACAGATCTCCAGCCGGGAAAACTGCCTCAAGAATTCCCTGAAGGACATCCTGGAAGATGCAGAGTAAAGGTTGGGATGAGGGGACTTTAAAGCTTCAGGCAGGGTCGGTTAGCTTAGCTGGATTGTGTCACTACAGCTGTAGCATGAAGAGGACTGTCTGAATGAGCAGCTTTAATAGTGTGAGTTGGTGCCATAACGCTCCGAGACTGTGGAACAACCTTCCTGAGGGTCTGAGAGGAGCCGAGAAGCGAGATTTTTAAACGTAATCTTAAAACTCATTTATTCAGTCTGGCTTTTATATAGTGCTTTATATAAATTCAAATCGTAACATTATTGTTTTGTCTTTTTTTATCCTACTACAATTTTAAATATTCTTCTCCTATGTATTCATTTTAACATGTTATTGCTTTTATGTGTCGTATTTTTTTTTTTTTTTTTTTTTTTTTTTAATTCTTATTGGTGTGCATTAGTCTCTCAATACTTTTATAAACTACTTTTTCGTCAATAACTTTTCTGCACTCTTGTAAAGCACTTTGAACTGCAATTTAATTTGTCTGAAAGGTGCTTTATAAATAAAGTTTGATTGATTGATAAGCTGAAAGTAGGATAAGCGACTTGTATCATGTGCTGTGTGCTTCAGGCTAACGTTCGCTGCAGCTTGCAAAAAAATCTTCTTTTTCTGGAGTTTTCTTTTTTTGTTACTGGTGATAAACGTCAACCATTGAGCACCAGCTATAAACAATCCAATATATTACTCACAAAAATCACAATTCCTTTTTTGCACCACTACTGGGTATCTCCAAAAAAATATGCATGAAACTCCCTCACAGTTCTACATCACTTTGGACATCTTACCAAAACTCTCCATCTTCCATCTTCAGATGCAGGTCTTCTCGCTCAGAGGGGTCGATCTCATCCCATTCAGGGGAGCTGCACAAAACAAATAAACATTTAGTTTAAAGGGGACATATTGTAAAAAAAATCCACTTCCACAGTGTTTCTGAACATATATCTGGGTAACCTGAGTGTCTACTGACCCACACAGAGAACAATGCTCCGTTTCAAATGTGCTCTCCTTGTGATGTCACAGTGGGATTCTGGTAATAAAAGAAAATCCCCTCCCCTCCCCTGATATCTCCACCCATGGACTCCACCCCCAGACTAGACCAAAACTTTTGAACAGGTCGGCCTTTTTTGTTCTCTCTACAGAGGAGTGATGTCTACAGGGAAAACTCACGTCATTACATTTAAAGAGACACACACACCAAAACGGAGCGTTCTGAGAGAGCTGGTTTATACAGGGTCACAAAGCTCCTCTGGTGCTTCATGTTATATTTTGACCAAAGCACAGCACAGATGTTTCATTTAGACCACAGGGGGGCTGTTTGAAAATGCATCTCGTTTTGGAATAGCTCGTCTGACATAGATGATCTCCTGTCCTGAAATCATCTCGAACATGTCAGGAGTGTGTGTGTGAAAGAGGCCTCTGCACACTCACTTGTCACTCCAGGCTCCAGTCCACTCTACCTGGCCCCACGGGTTACGCACTCTGATAAGGCGCTCCATGTTTCCACGGTAATCAACCTAGAGACGGACAAAGTGACGAGCAAACTAAGAACAGTTTGTATTATGAGTTAATACAGATTAAACACGGAGCAGCGATGCACACACACAGACCTCCTTTAATCCGGTGACCGAGTAGGCGTGTCCCTTCACCAGCTTCTTGAAGGTAACAGCCTCCATGTCGAAGGCGCTGGTGATCTGCAATAAAAAAAAAGACAACTGGATTACCGCACAGCAGTATCAATATAAGAGACGTGGAAATAAATAGAAGTGCTTTTAATGTGATTGTTTTTTTTCCAGCATTGATCGATCTGCGGGTCAGTGTGTTCAGCACTCACGTCGATGGAGCAGCCCAGCAGAGAGCCTCGGTCCAGAGCTTTGGCAATGATCCGGTGCAGATCTCTGGGAGCGCTGCGGAGCTCGTACATCTCCGACACGCCCCCTGTGAAGTCCTCAAAGCCTTCAGTGGTGCTTCCTCCTGACAGGGCCTCGTAGGAGCCATTCAGCCTGACACCACAGAACCAACCCGCACTCAGAAATGCACTTCAAGATATCATTTAAAAACTCTCTGCTAAACACATGAATGCTGAATAATTCAGGCCCGTTAAAAAAAACCCACTTAGCGTAAGCTTTCTCCAGGAGAGCACTCCAGAACTCATTGCCCTCAGCAGAATGGACGAACATGAGCTCGCCGTCTTTGACCGGCAGCCTGTCATCTATCACAACATCCACCCACTCGCCGAACTGCCAGAACTGCAGACACAGAGCATTAATCAAGAGCTGCATCAGGCTAAAAACACTCGCCGTCCACCAGGGGCCGGTCCTAAAGAGCATCTTAAAACATAATCAAGGTAGCGCCGTCTTTTTGAATAATCGACCAGGCCCAGAATAAGAACCTCCTGCTAGTTTTCAAAGCGTGCTTCATCGTGCAGGCCTCGCCATGATGTCGCAGTACCTGAAAGTGGAAGATCCCCGCGTAGTCGTCTTGGAAGGACTGACCATGAGGGACCACCCGGTGAAGAAGCCTCTCGTTCAGGGTGAGCGAGCCGATGGCTGCCAAGAGCCAGCAGTCGCCTGCAAGAGAGAAGACGCACCATCAGACTTATTTTGTCTTTTTTTAGAACAGATTTCATGTTAGAAATGACAAAAAAACGAGGGCTCACCCAGCGCTCCCTGACAGATGTCTGTTCTGGTGGCTCCGCCCACAATGAACTGAGGGTCATCTGTCAGTTCCTACCGAGACATTAAACATCAGAGTTAACAAGTTTTTAACAGATTTAACCTTCAAACTTCTCTCTTTAAAGAACTGAAGACCCCTAAGCCCGGTTTTTTTCCTTTTTTCTTTTTGGGCTTAATCTTTGGGTTCTTGTTGACATGTGACCAACTGAACAGCCTTCTTTCTCCTTGTTAGTTAAACAGTCTGCAAGCTCTACTTCAAAGGTGTTAGTACTGGATCAGTCTTGGTCTCTAGACCACTAATTGAAGGTCCCGGTCTTGTCTCTGATTCGATGTGGGGTATTATGGCAGGGTGTTTCTGTGGATTTATTGTATCGATAAGGGATGTCAAACGATTACAATTTTTAGTCATGATGAGTTGCTTGATTTCAATATTTATGGTGCGTTATGGTGATTAGAAAGTCGGAAATTTCCAGTCACCGGTAGGATACGTACTCAGGAATGCTTCCCCTGTAACTCCGGAAACTCTGAGAACCTTCAGCGGTCCGACTTAAAATCCAACATGGCTGCTCCGTGCATCAACAGTAACGTTTAAATGCCCTGACACACCGAGGAGATCGTCTTGTCTCGGTCTCAGACCGGGCAGAAACCGGATCTTAAATCAAGACCACTTTTAAAATGTGATTTTGAAATATATCACCATTTTTGACAACCTTAACATAAACAAATGCATGTTTGTTTGTTTTTTTTAAGAAAAATGTATAAAACAACGATTAGGGTGATTTTAAAATGATGTGGTTGCATCGCTTGTACGGCAGAATATCACTGACCACTGATCGGGTATTATTCCACGTCATCACTGAGATTAGAAGGAAAACGTCTCTTTCTAAAAGAACTAATCACTTTAATTCATTCATAATTTTTTTCCCCGCGGTTACGGCCGCAACCTTCCGGGTGAGTGACACGCCCCCTAAACACAAGATGATGATTTTTCAGTGATATTTATGGTCTTGGTCTCGTCTCTGTCTCGCCCTGCCTTAGTCTTGTTCTTGACTTGATCTCTAACCCTAAATGTCTCGGTCTTGTATCGGTCTTGGATCTTGTTGTGTATGTATTTGAATGTATCCTGATACAGTGTTATGAGGTTTTATGTGATCGACTGCTGTTCATTTTGACTGTTTGTTTAAAGGCCCAACGAGGGACAAGAGTTAGCATTAGCATTAGCTCTAAAGTCTCTGTGCAGAACTTCAGTTTCACTATTAAATAAACAAATAAACTGATAATGATCTTCTTTAATGTAACACATCTTTCACATCAGTGCTATTCTTGCACCTACATGTCGACATCCTGTATTTTTACGAGGCCACTGTGAACGAATGTCAGAGTGAGGAGTGGTCAGAATGCCACCACGCGATGCCGACAGCTGCAGAGGTCGGCGGCGTTCGTGTCTCCGCTTGTTCTGCTCCGTCTGGGTTTGCAGAGACATGAAATAATAGCGACACTGATATGTTTGTTGACATGATCTGTTTCTCTTCGGAGGTCCAGTCCGGCCTCCTGTTGAGGGACGGCATGACTAACAATGGATGAATGTGTATCTAACATCTGCTTTACTTTAGAGGAGTTTGTGTTTGAAGAACAGATTTGATTTGAAAATAAAGATTTCAATATGTTAATTTTTTTTTTTTTCAATTTTTATTAACCTGTTATATTTTTTTTGACCTCAAATATTTCCAACAGTTATCAAATCCTTCATTTTATAGTTGTAACAGGACGTGTCTTGTCACAGCAGCCGCCAAGACAGACTTTAAAAACTTTGTTTTTATGGGGGGGGGGGGGGTAGCAGAGAGAATCACTCCCATGATTCCCCGCAATCCTCGACGTCATCTTTTTTGTTTTTGTTTTGACTCAGAGTCTTTTCAACACACATGCAAGACGGCTAAGTAACAACTTTAACTGTCACAAACTCAAAACATAACAGAGGTACCACCTTGTGGCGCTATTTGGTACTACACTGTTAATCTGTAAGACAGTTCAGTGTTTTTTCAGTGCTCTGCTTCCTTAGTTCAAAAAACACTGCTTTGGTGGCAGCTGCTTTTTAAAGGTGCAACATCAAGATCAAGAGCTGTGGGTGATGCCAGGACACGACTCCTTTACAATGTTTTTATCTTTTCTTTAAGAAATTTCCTTAAATATAATCAAATATAAAACATACAGAGCAATAGAAAAATGTACTAAATGTGTCTGCCAAGAAACCAGAGTCCGTCAGTGGACTGGACAGACACAGGCCCTAAAGTAAAACACTGAAATGGGAGTGGTTGCTCTGAGTGACAGCTGCATACTGATAGCTGCATGCTAGCTGTAAAAAGGGCAGTGGACTGTGATGTAACCACGGCAACTGTTCCTTTTTCCTCACCGTTGGTCTCATCCACTCCACATCGCTCGTTTTGGCAGAATGCGGGGCGAGCTCCTTGAAGCCCAGCGATGTGGGCTCAGCGGGGAAATAGTGGTCCTCAAACAGGCAGCCGGACTCCACGCACTCCTGCTTCAGGGCCTCGTAGTCCTGGTTGGAGAAGGGCACGGCGTGCTCCACGGAGCCCATCCCTTCTGCCCGCAGCCGGTTGGCGTATATGCTCGCAGATATTCCTCCCACTGGATCCATACTGGTGGTGAGAGACACAAACATGGGGCAGGGTGGGTGAGCATAGTCAGGGCTATAAATAGATCATGTAATCAGTAGCACACTCTATGTCTGAGGGTTACTGCAAAGCAATGATGTGTGGGCGACTGGGCGTGTGTAGAAACATAACGTTTAGTGATAAGGTGAGATGGTTTTAGCTGAGGGGAAGGAGCCTAACTTAAGTCTTAATCCGGCCCCGTGTTGACCCACATGGACTTTTTAAAGTTACAAAAACTACTTAAAGGATAGAAGTGTTGAGGAAAAAACTGATCTCGGCTTCTTGGGTTTTATTTATTCAGTTTCAAGAATGTAGCTTTCAGTCCCATCAAAGAAAGGATTATTTATTAAAGAAAGGACTCAAACATTTCCTCGCTACATCATTAGATAAGGCTAATCGTCTGATAATTTTAGATGACCCTGATAACCGAGTCAGTGGTGTAATATTTACGTTTCTACAAGTCACTAAACAGACACTTCTTTACAAAGCGATGTACATCAGAGAGTAAGAACAACACAAGTGAGGATCAAGAGAGGAGGAAACAAACATCTTTAAAGGGGTCATATTATGCTTGTTCTGGTTTTATTTACACTAGTTTAGTGTAGTGTGGTAAAACACACTCTTTAGTTTCACACTAAAGAGTGTGTTTTCCAAGTGTCCTGTGCATGTTTAGGCACATCTATGTGCAAAAATTCAAAGTCCACGTAAACGCAGCTTCTCCTTCGTTCTCCTGTTAGCTGTAGCATTAGCTGCACGTAACGCTCGGTTCTAGCCCCCCTCGAAAAAAATGTGCCAGTGTGACGTCTTGTCAGTGTGAGATCACTGATCTAAGCCCATTGGCTCATTGTGGCCCAGCATGTTGCACGCCCGTTAACTTCTGTAGCACGCCCACGATATGCCGTAGCCTGCGGTAGCACAGTAGTGCTAAGGTGCTGAGGTGCTTTGCTCCCCTCCGAGGCAAAGTGGCTGCATTCCCAATATGGTAAAAAGGGGCGTGACATTTCCGAGAACCGTGCTGAGTGACGGACCAATTACGGCAGAGCCGACAGGCCGACCAATCAGATCAGACTTGGCACACGTGGGGACTCTGAACGTGGGCGCTTCAGAGCCTTAGAGAGAGAGTCAGAAGCGAGCCGGTGCATAGAGCGGCAGTTCATGAAAACAGACACTTTTTAAGAACTTTAGCTATTTTGAACATACTTTAGTAGGTACATAGATTAAATATATGAACCCCAAAAAGGGCAGAATATGACCTCTTATAGTCTGATCGGACACAGAGGTGCTGACAGGAAGTGACCGGACGCAGAGCACAACATCATCATCATCATTAAGTTAGTAGGTGTTCATAAAGAGCTGGGTCTTTATCTTTTTCTTAAAGGTGCAGAGGGACTCTGCAGATAGAATGGAGTTTGTTAGCTCGTTTCACCACCGGGGGGCGACAGAGGAGAAGAGTCTAGTCAGAGACTTAGGACCCTGTTGTGAAGGTTGGCTCAGACGCCTTTCATTGGCGTAGTGGAGTCATTTTTGTCTGTTTTGTAAGCGAGCAGCAGAGTTTTAAATTTGATGCGAGCAGGAACTGGGAGCCAGTGGAGGGAGATCAGACCCTGCTGTTTTGGGGAGGTTGAAGACGAGTCGTGCTGTTGCATGTTGGATCATCTCATTAGAGGTTTCATAGTGTTGATGTAGGAAGACCTGCCAGTAGTTGCAATAGTCAATGTGTGATATCACAAGAGCCTGTACAGGAAGCTGTGTAGCTCTGACAAAAGTCTAAATTCTGATCTTGATGTTTGTGTATTTATGTTGTAAACATAAAGAAAAGCACAGCAGACAGCACACATGCACAGCGTTATCATAAAGACAGCAAACACAGGTTGAACAAAACGACTTAGAGATGTGATACCTTGTCTTTAAAGGCAGGCTGAGAGAGAATGAGAGAAAAAAGGAGAGAAAGTCAACCGGTGAAGTTCATGCACAAGCACTCAAATGTTTTCTATCGCTGTGAGCTGCAGAGACGTTCAGCTGTGTTCAGAGAAGCAGCAGACCCTGATGGAGTTCAGTGTTTACGACTCAGTGGGGGGAGGTCTTTTTCCTCCTCCATGATGAATGCACTCCTTTTCAATGCTGCAGTCTTTCACAACGGTCAGTCCAGTCTCCGGAGAGAACATAATAGCTTTGTGGGGAAACCAGGGAACTGTTTGTTCAAAGTAAACCTGCAAAGACCTCAGCTGTTGCATTTGTTCAAATCTCAAAACTGGGTCATACACAAAGAGGAACGATTTTAATCTGATCAAATGTAATGTGTTTTTTTTTTTTAAAAGGAATGTGAAACCTTTGATCCAGTAGAGGTTTTGGATTCAGGGAGGACTTTAGGAATAGAAAAAGGAGGAAGTTATAAGCCAATCAGGTAGGTGCAGGGCAGTGCAAAAACTGCAGACTGAGGAAGAAGATAGGCCCGCAAGTACTTTAGGAAACACTAGCTGTTTTCACACTTCCTCCCAATCATCGCCCGACCTGCAAGCTGGCGGTATATTATATTTTTCAAGCTGCGTTCAATCTCATCAGCTGGAATTTTATTGAGAGGCTGGCAGGAAAAGACTGAGGAAAGTCGGAGCGATTACAATTGCTGCAAAATATTCAGGAGTTTTGTGCACTGATAAAAAAAAAAAAATTATCAAGTAGTTTATAACATAAACATGTATACTTAAATGACTCCACTCTGGCTGTTTCTACCTTCTGTTTCTTTACACAGCTAACAGCCTACATTCTGACAAGTGGTCCCATTCAGAGCACGAGTTATCCAAACGAGTACAACTTGAACATGTCTTATGTCCGATGTTACTTTGAAAAAATGTCAAATGTCAGATTAGATTTGCAGATTCTGGATGGAAAAAGACGGCAGTTCTCGATCTATTTTGGAGACAACTTGCCATTGAGTAAAAGTCTGAGAGTTTGGTCTCTACTGTTTGGAGTCAGCGCTGGAAAAACTGGGACATGGGATGATTGTTTGCACTTCTCTGTTCGACTCCAAAGAAATCCTAACGAGCTCTGTTCAAAACAAACGGCCATCACACTCACAAGTTTGAGGTGAGAAAACGTTGATGGAGCGAGAGTGATGAGCAACCAGGAGACAAAGTACAAACACACAAAGTAGGCTAAATTTTGGGATGAAATAAATGGCAGACACATTGTTTACGAAGTGCACCCCCCCCCGAGGCCCCTGGTGTCTGTAGAGTCTGCAGGAATGTCAAACAGCGAGACAGAAGCAGAGGACACTGCTGGCTGCTGACCAAAAGGATCTCTCTCTTTTCCCCCTCAATGAGCAGAGAACAGCTGATCTAAACATTCCTGTCATGACGATGAGATCCACAGGACTTCAACCTAAACAAAAACCTACAGCCGCTCTGTGGGGATAAATGATCCCCCCTTCTCTAAAACCAGCAGCATGGAGGAAGCTGTAGAGCTCTGCACACCAACAGTTACAGTCGATGCTCACTCAGGTCACCATGTGGTGGACTCTGAAGCTTCAGTGTTTATCCAGCTCTGCATGGGTCTGTAAACCTTTCTGTGTTCTAACCTCTCTCCATTTTTCAAAAGCATCTCCAATATTGATCCTAGTTTGAGCACGTTTCTGCTCGTGGAGCTTATTAGAAACATGCAGAGGCTTTTTAGGTCGGGTACAATCACTTCTATCTGAACCACTTCTCTTGACCGCTTCCATCACTGCAACACCTGTTGACCTGATAACTTTGTTCCTTTAAAAATCATTTTTGGCAATCAGTGAAATGTGTAGAGAGGGATGAAGGTATCTTACTCTCTGATCATTAAGGAAACATGCTATGTTGAAGTGCTGGCTTCTCTGACAACAATGCAGCAGCCAGTATGTCCTCTTTCTAACTTTAGATTCTGCTCCTGAATGCTCTGGATTTGTTTGGACCAGAGAAGGTAGGCGGTTTAAGGCACCCCCCCACACGGCTCGTTTTGGATAATTAACATGAACACTGTACATGAGATACAAAACATATTGGTTTATGTTGGGCGCTCTCCATGTACAGAGGCTGTAGTCCTTGTTGCAGCGACTTTGGGATTGAATCTGAATTAGCCCTTTGCTGATGTCATCCCCCGCTCTTTCTCCTCCCAACATTTCTTCGCTCTCTTCAGCTGTCTTATTCAATATAAAAAAATATATATATTTTTTTAAACTACAGCAAAATGTTTGCATGCAGGAAAAAAATAAATGCTGCTCACCAGACTTTCATGCAAAGCTTTTTACCTTTTTAAGAGATATTACAGTATGCAAACCAAATATTTCCTGTTACTTATTGGAAAGTGGAAAAAACCTCTTCTTTCATTATGAGTTATTCATGTTTCACCTGCAGCAATAAAGCAGGTAAAACATTTTTTAGCAGCAGGTGAAATATGTTTTTCTATTTTGTGATATAATTTTTCGCGTTCCATGAAATGTATTAATTTTTTTTTTAATTTTTGGAGTTTAGAGAAACATTTGGGCAATCATGAAATATAGAAAGTTGGCCTTCAGGGCTACCGTACCTGTGTATGCTTTCACTGCAGTCAGGATTTAAGAATGGCCCACGCTTGTTTTGTGGTTTCATAGTTAATGAAACTACTTGAATCACAGATCAGATTTGAATGAACAACCTGCTTAAAGCCACACACAGCCTGAGCAGCAGACTGAGGGCTCCCTCCCTCTGTAACTCAGACTGTTTGCAGCACCTGTTTAGTACAGTAGCCTTACACACACACACACACACAGGCCCTGTCTGTCTTTATTTGCGCTCCGGCCTGCAGTCTGCTTCAAAAGACTTCACACAATCAAAAGATCTCTGAAAGACAAAGCGCACTCACTAAACACTGGATCTCTCCCGTCCGGCTGCAGCCTGAGTCCCGACATGTCAGCTGTGTCCACTGTTATTATTAGTGCTGCAGCTTTTCAGGGCATCAAATCAAAGTAACCTGGCCTCCACTACAATTAAGATCCTGAAGGAGCGCCGTTAACTTCAGGAGGCCGACTGATTGAACACAGTAAGCATATAAAACTGTACTCACCACCGATCCAAACGGGACTCTCGGCCTCTTCTTTCCGAGCCGGGGGTGGGGGGAGATAATCGAGTAAATCTGAGGAGAAAAGGGGGGCAGTGGTTTGGTAGGCACAGTCCAGGTCCAGCCCTCTCTCACACACACATGCACGCTGCAAGACAAGACCAACTAGGTGGAGCCATCGAGCACCTGCAGTACCGCACACAGCCGCTAGAGGCGCTGGAGATAGTTTGTTTTCAGATTCAATAAAATACAGGATTTTTCTTTCTTTCCATAGTTCTACTTTTCCTTTTTTTGTGTGTATTTATTTTTCTCAGACTTCCTTTCAGTCATTCTTTGCTTCTCTCTCTCTCATCCTTTATTTCTTAATATATTTCTTTCCATCTTCCTTTCACCCTGTCCCATCCTTCATTTCTCTATCTTTCTTTTCCTCCCTCATCCTTTCTTCTTTTTTCTTTTACATTTAAATGGACAGAGCCACATACACTTCACGTATTACTGATGCAAGACAATATAAGTTTTACCTGAAAATTAAATAATGGTGAATAAGAAATGACAGAAAGAAGGCTTTATTGACAAACTAATATTAAACCAACATGGTGTAGGGTAAACCAGAACAGAACAGCAAATTTCACTGATACAGGAAACATCTATAATAACAGTAAAAGTTTATTCTTTTTCAAACACACTTTATTAATCCCTCAGGGGGAAATTCTGGTTTTACACTGTTATTGAGAAACCTGCTTCTCACACACAAGACTATAAGAGACATGAAAAGTACCCAAAGGCCTGCCTGATTTAGACTCTCTCTCTCTCTCTCTCTCTCTGTGTGTGTGTCTCTCTCTCTCTCTCTCTCTCTCTGTGTGTCTCTCTCTCTCTCTCTCTCTCTGTGTCTCTCTCTCTCTCTCTCTCTGTGTCTCTCTCTCTCTCTCTCTCTCTCTCTCTCTCTCTGTGTGTCTCTCTCTCTCTCTCTCTCTCTCTCTCTCTCTCTCTCTCTCTGTGTCTCTTTCTCAGGTGGGCCTGCTGCAACCACCTTGTTTGTTTTGCTAAACCTCAGAAAGCCTGGGAACAGAAAGTACAGGATGACAGGTCAATGTAAAATATGATCGCTATAAAAGTTAGTCATTATTTAGTATGCAACTATGCAAGCAAAGGTCTCTCCTGAGAGATGACACACCTCAGACAATAGCAAAGGTCACCAACTGAAAAGGCTTTCACCTGAGCACCTTTGTTTGGTGTCATAAAGTGGATCAGAGATGTCTGAATTGTAGTTTTCTTGTTCCTTTACTTGTTCATCAGTTTTTAGTGGCAAATGGCATCCAAGAAGACAGGTTGCTTTGCTGCCATCTGCTGGATGGCAGCAATGCAACCTGTCCACCTTTTTTTATTGGGGGAAACCGTCTTCCTCCTCTCTGCTGCCTTTTATCCTCCAGCCTCTGATTGAAGAATCCACAGGACAGGTGAGGCTGCACGGGCTGCCCCTCAGCTTTTACTGACATAAAGACAACAGCTGAGGTCTATAAGACGTTTGGGAAAAAAACACTTCATGTATAATGCATCATGTATAATGCCACATGAGCTGAGCGTGAAAGCACCCTATCGATGTTTGCATTACACTCTAGCTATTATGAAACTCTTAATTACATAGGAAGAGACATCAATCATGACGAACAATTCGTAAATGTTCATACAGCTCATGTTGTGCTTTCATCGAGCGTCACTGATGTATACAGTACATGGTTTATTAAGTTACAGAAGCCAATAAGAAGCCACTCTGCACAACCAGAACTGGTCTGCAGTTATCTGAATCTTCTATTAGTGGTTGTTAGATGACTTCCTTTTTCTGTTTTTTTCCGTCTAACTACATACTGAAGTAACTTAAACCAGGGGGGATCAGAACCTTTCTCTATAGTGTTGTAGTACTTGACATCGGTCTTGTTCTCAAGACAGGTCTCGAAACCACTTTTTGAAGGTCTCAGTCTCGCCTCAGAATTGAAAGCAACCTTCCTGGTGTTATGGTCTAAGTGAGTGACACGCCCGCTGCAAACAAGATGATGATTTGTTTAGTGATATTTATGGTCTTTTCTAGGTCTCACCCTGCCTTGTGCTGTTCCTGACTCGGTCTCGGAGAACTCTGGTCTCATTTAGGGTGATCTTGAATCTTAATTCACTAGCCTCTAGTTGACTGTAGGGGAGAGCGGGGCATGTTGTCACACGGGTAAGTTGTCACACTGGTTATATCTCCACCACCAGAGGGCGCTGTCTATAATTATAACCGTTGAATGTGCGACTCACAGTTCTGAAGTCATTCTGTTACTCACACAGCATTAGTCACTGTAATTTGAGTTGAGAACAATTTTGATCTTTTTCCAACATAAAAGTAAAAAAACTTAATTGTACATTTTATGTCATAAACATTTGATTAGTAAGTATGCTCAATTGGGTATATTTTACACAGAATAGAGGAGAGAAAATGTTTATTTTGATACCTAAACCGAAGTCCTGCGCTAAAGCTAGCTTGCGGCATAGCTATCAATAGCACACATGTCACTCTGGGGCAAGTTGTCACATGTGACCAATACCCAGTATACATATATTACAACATTTTCCAACTGCAGAACTGCAGAAGCCAACTTTTCTAGCTGTTAAAGTTAATTGTTGCTAAACAACAATGTGTGTGTTGATATACTGCTTCACAAAGTATTATTAGTAGTAATTCAATTGTTATAAATGATGTGGCCACAAAATGGTAAAAATATACAGGAGGGTGCTTAATAAGCCTTTAATTTAAAAAAATATTTATTGATAAAATTATTTTTTTGTATGTACAAGCAAAGAGAAGGAAGAATATAAAGGACAGAAGGGAAGCCTGCTAAAATGGTTCGAAATTATAAACAAAAGACCGGCAATGGCAGTCCACCAGCTGACATAATGTTAGGGCAGTGAGGCAGGTAAAACTTGAAAATAAATCAATAAGGAGTACTGCCAAAGACTTCAGCATTAATTACAGGACCCTCACACGCGACTGTCAAAAGATGACATCCGTAGAAACTGAGGGTCAGATGACGATGCCAATGTCAGTGGTGGGCTATGTTCAGCCTAGGCAGAGTTTCCCAGCTGACTTGGAGATCCAACTGGTTCATTACATCATTAAGTCAGCTGACATCTACTTCGAGCTGTCACCAAGACACTGTTACGTCACTGAAAGATGTATTTAAACATGTTGAATTAGAATTTAAAAAAGATATATTTCTAAAAAGACATAGTTCAAGATGAATTTGTTTGTGTTTCGGCTATTTGTAGTTTTTTAGGTTTTATGGTCTGCATTGTTTTTTATGCACTGACACTGATGAAGCCCTGGCATTGAAAACAGCTGTTTCAATAAATCTGACTTTCAAATGCAAGAATAAGAGTGATACATGTTATTATTTGTTGAAAAATATAATGTGACAATTTACCCCGCATAGTGTGACAACATACCCCGTGATGGGGCAACTTGTCACAAATGCACACTCTGTACTTGATCATGCAGAATTTATTATTGAAATGACAAGTGAAAATCTGAAGATTATACATTTGTGCACAAGAAATTAATCTTTAGTTTGATATAGAAATTGAGTGACTGTGATATACTTAGACCGAGAATTTTAGGTGAAAGCCAAAAGTGTGACAAGATACCCCGCTCTCCCCTAATCCACAGTAGTCATATCCTTATTTACTATGCGTGCGTTTGTGGGAAGACGTGAACATGAATCATCTTCAAAACAAACAGTGTTGCATTCAACAGCTGAAAAAAAACAAACATAACATCTGCCTGAACCAGCCGATCACAGAGAGGGAACTGTTTGAACAGGGAGAAGCTCTCCTGTACTTAGCATAGAGGATGTAGCCGCAGAATAAGGATCTGAGATCACACGCTACAGCACAATGCCAACGCCACAAAGCTGACTGGATTGCAAACATGTTGCCATGTCATCTATATCACAACGTGTTCTTGCTTAACTCCACCCTTCATTTACGTTAAAAGGCCTCTCTTTCACAACCCTCAGCTGTATGTGCTGCATGTAATCCCTACAAACAACTCTGTGGGAAAGAAACAACTTCTTCTTTCTGACATTTTCTTTGAGTTTCATAGTCTGTGCAGAGTTTGAGACACAAATCAAACTATACGAAACGATGACTTCCACTTTTCTTTGCATGCAACCTGAAAGAAGTGGAAGAGAAAATAATTTGAATACACATCCCGCCCCCCCAGGAGACAATGGGATCTGTGCTTCAGGTTACCTTTGGGTGTGTCCCTGTTTGTATTTCAGCTGCAGTCAGACGTATCTCATTGCAGAGGTTTAGGATTGCAGGTGTCTGCTCTGTGCAACCTCACCTGTCCACTGGAAGCCCCTCCCTGAGATCCTAGCCTATCACCTTCCTCACCTGTGTCCACTATAAAGCCGACTGGGACAGGACACATTCTGAGCTCAAAAGGAAAACTTCAAAAGTTGAGGATGACATCCACGGCTGACCGTCTGGCCCACGAGCAGAAGAGGCAGCGGGGCATTGGCACCAATCAGCACGCAGTGAAGTTCTCCCAGCAGGATTTTGAGAGTCTGAGGCAGCAGTGTCTGCAGAGCGGACGTCTCTTTGAGGACCTCCGCTTCCCCGCTGAGCGGAGGTCTCTGGGATACAACGAGCTGGGGCCGTACTCACCCAAGACCAGGGACGTCGAATGGAAAAGACCGACGGTAAGGCACACCACAATGTACACAAAAGATGTCATTGTTCGTTTTGTGATGTCATAGCCTGGATGATGATCCTGACAGAGATAAGTGAGTTTTGCATGTTACTCGTAAGCTGCACATTTATATTCTCTTTAAGCCGTTACTTCAGGATGTAAAAAAGGGTGGTTAGAACTAATTTATTTGTTGCAGAAGCCCTGAGCAGACATGCATCAAAATATTTTGTGTAACTCACTCTTTTTTGTGATAGATTTTTGATGTTTTCGAGACTCTGGTGGCCTAGTGGTTAGGATGCGCTTCATGTATAGAGGCTACCGTCCCTTCTCTATGCGCTGCCATTAAAAGCCCAAAAAATAAAGCTTTACAAAAATGTAATAATTCTGCTGTTTTCTCGAGATCCTGAATTATGTTTCTCATTATCTCAGATTTTTTTTAAAAAGCTAACCCTAACCCAAGAAAGTCACAGACGGTTGGTGGATGAAATATCAGGTGCAAACTGTGTTAAATTCTCCATTCATACAAAGAACTACAATGACCCCAGCACAGCAGACTGTAGGGACTCATCCTGCTATTCATCTGAGCTGCACAGGATCTCTGTTTGTGCAGCTGTGAGGATACAACAAAGCTCATTTGGATATTAAAGGTTGAACAAACGATCACATGTCAGTGTTGGGGAAGCTTCTTCAAAAGGTTGAAAAGTGGCTTATTATCTTACACTGTGAGAAGTTGAACTAAAGCCAAAGTGACCGAGGCAGAAATGTAACTGGTGAACTCGAGCTACAAGAAAAAAGTTGCTCAAACTTCTCTGTGAAAAATGGTCCAATTGACTATGAACACATGATACAAAAGGGAAGACATCAAACGCTTCACTGGAAGGCCTGAAAAGCTGGCTGTCGCTCCCAGAGGCCGTTTGGTATTTCTACTTCTAACACAAATCTAAATCGTTGAATGTTGAGCTCATGTTTTGCTCGTTGTAGGAGCTGTGCACAAACCCAAAGTTCATTGACGATGGAGCCACGAGGACGGATATTTGCCAAGGAGGTCTGGGTAAGAAAAGGAGGGGAGAATGCTTTTAAAAGATGGATGCTTCAAAGAGGGGGGGATGCATAATCCTTGGACTTAACCTCCACTCAACCTGCCTTTAAGCATGAAGAATGACCTCAGATGGGTTGCAGTGAACATGTTCCCAAACCTCAAACCACATGTGTGATTTGGTTCTGCAGGTGACTGCTGGCTTCTGGCTGCGATCGCCTCTCTGACTCTGGACCAACGGATCCTGGCTCGTGTGGTTCCTCCAGGACAGAGCTTTACTGAAGGTTATGCCGGGATATTTCACTTCCAGGTCAGACAACAAAATACTGACCTTCAAGCTGGCTTTGTTTCTTACTTTTGTTGTCTATTCCATCCTGCTATGCCAGACCTCTGAATGCATGCTAATTTGAATCAAATCTGCACAATGGCAGAGGCAGGTTTGAGATATTTAATCATACATTTGAGGGTAAATTAAACAAATTAATTGAAGCACTAACACTAAGCACGTCTCTCAAAATGCAGCTCAGAAGCTCACATTTTATTCTCTTGAATCTATGTCAGTGAATTATTTGATATCAAGCCAAGTTCTTTTGATATACTCTGATCAGTTCCAGTGAGTTTAATCAGCTAAATGCTCAACTGGTTCTACAAAACCAAAAGCAGGTACTTTGTACCTCGCATGCAGAATAACTTCCCTCAGTAATATCGAGTTAAATATGATTTCATGATGCTGCAACTCAGCATAAAGAAACAAACTGATCAGTGTGACGCTATTACAGGAACATTTTATTATTGTTTATTTATTTGTTTGTTTTTAATTCTTTAACTTCAACTTGAAAACAAGAAACATGTAGAAACATGGCACATGGACTCAGACATGAGAAACAACAAACACCATGAACAACATTAAATACATAAATAGGTCAACAGGAAACGGAGAACGTATAAAAACCATCATTTAAACCAGTGATTCTCAACTGGTGGGTCGGGACCCAAAGGTGGATCACAGAGCTGTTTTCAGTGGGTCTCGAGCATGTGCCTTGAAAAATCCTGGTGTCACTCAAACAGTCTGTCAAGCGCTTTTCTTTTTAACATGTTCGTCTATTGCTTCCGTCAAGTGTTTTGCATAATCTGATTATTTGAAAAAGACAAAATTTTTACAGTGAGGAGTTGGTGGTGGTTCCTGAGGCTGGACGAGTTGAGAACCACTGATTTAAACCAAAATAAAACTCATCAGTCATCAGGGGTCATTTTTTGATTTATTTAAAATAGGGACAGTGCACATTAATGAAAATAAACATGTAAATATGCCAGATTGTAGGCTAAGGCTAATTTCCATGTGTAGTCCCTTGGCATGTTGCGGCTGTGGCTCAGTGGTAGAGTTGGTCGCCTCCCAACCGGAAGGCTGGGGGTTCGATCAGTGTGAATGGTGCACCTGTCATAGCCATCAGATCATGGATGAGTCTGGTTTTTTTTTTTGCATCCATTCAGAAATTCAAAATGAGGCTGTAACGCATCCTTTTGCAACCTCTTAGAACCGGGCCTGATCCCTTGAAACAAACACAAGACAGTCACCTGCTGCAAGGCAATCACCCAAAGAGTGGCACCCCAAGAATGTCCTAACAAGAGTTTACTCATGATGATATTTTCTCTTCAGTTCTGGCAGTTCGGCGAGTGGATGGACGTGGTGGTCGATGACCGTTTACCCACCAGAGACGGAAAGCTGCTGTTTGTTCACTCGGCGGAGGGCTCCGAGTTCTGGAGCGCTCTGCTGGAGAAGGCCTACGCCAAGTACGGATCATTCCTTTACAACATTTAATCATTAAAACAAGAAACAGTACAATGTCCCTGTACATTTATGTCCCGTTGTGTGACAGGATGAACGGCTGCTACGAGGCCCTGGCGGGAGGAAACACCATCGAGGGTTTCGAGGATTTCACCGGAGGGATCGCTGAAGTTTATGACTTATCAAAAGCTCCAGCGAAGCTCTTCCACATCGTGCAGAAGGCCCTGAAGCTGGGCTCACTGCTGGGCTGCTCCATCGATGTGAGGCTCATTTTCATACTGATTTTCATGCCGACATGCAAACAAACACCGACAGTGGAGATCTGATGTCTGAAGATTGAAATGTTTGATGTGTTTTCAGATCGACAGTTCCTACGAGAGGGAGGCGGTGATGGCTTGCAAACTTGTCAAAGGACATGCGTACTCTGTCACCGGTGCAGAAGAGGTATCAGAAACTTCCAACAGTGTGTTGTTTGCGTTTATGTTTTTTTTTGTGTCATGCAAATTACGTTACCAACTGCTTCTCTCTTAGGTTCATTCCCGGGGCCGACTGGTTCAGCTGGTCCGCGTGAGGAACCCGTGGGGACAAGTGGAGTGGACCGGGGAGTGGAGTGACGGGTAAACTATTTCATGATCCAGTTACAATCAGACACCATTTTTTGTTTCCAGGATTTATATATGATTTTTTGATCCAGCAGATGTCGCCCTTGAGCACCAGCATGAAACCAAAACAACTCGCGCTGCATTGTTGTGTTGCATGCTAATGCTAGTGATCTTTATTATGCTGGTATCTTCACACTGCATGTAAATTTACCTGAAATGAGCGTGATCTAGAAACACAGTTAAGCAGTGAGTACAGTATGTTATTCTTCTTTTCTCTAGTCCCTCAATTAAACAACTTTTATACACGAGGGGAGGAGTCAGCCGGCCGTCCTGGCGATGTAAACAAAGTGAAGATATGACTCTGAAAACTCTGAAAACATCACAGACAGTGGGACTCGGGTGTTACACCCACTGTAGACAGTCATGACTCACAGAGTTATTTTCAGAGGATATACTTGATTTTATTATATTTAAGAGTGAATATAAAGCTTTTAAAAGCTGTTTTTTAAAATAAATTTAAATTAGATCCTGTCAGTGGGACACCGTCAGTTCGGACGACAAGTCAAAGTTGAACCACGTGTCTGAAGATGGAGAGTTCTGGTAAGTATATCTCCATCACAGTTCATGTAATATTCCTCGGGCTTGAAAGAGAGTTTGATTTGATAAAGAGGCAGATTTGATAAATGTTTCTCTCCCCAGGATGTCGTATTCAGACTTCATCAAGTGGTTTGACAAGCTGGAGATCTGTAACTTGACTCCTGACACGCTGCTGAGCGACGATGTGGGCCACTGGAACAATTATCAATTTGAAGGGATGTGGAGGGTTGGCTCCACCGCTGGAGGCTGCCGCAATCACCCAGGTACAGTAACCACACATAGAGCAGGGAGTTCTGTTGCATGAAGACATGATATACAGTAAGTCAGAATACGATACCATGCAACATGATGCTTTAACAACAAGATACTTTAACTCAGGGTGCGCTCACACCTGAGCTGTTTGGTCCGTTTGGTTCAGAATCAAACTGTGGTCTGCGGGGAAAACAGGGGTCTCGGTTTCGCTCCCAAATGCACCAGAGTTCAGTTCACTGCAGGTGAGAACGCCTTTTCGACCCAAACAAGGGAAGTTAAGCAAAACGCAGTGCATTGTAGGTTGAAGCATTACAGTAGGTTGGATGGCAGCAGCCACTGACCGGAGCTACAGCCCCATCTAGTGGCAGGTGGCTGTAGTACACAACATTTGACAGGATTTGGTGCAGTGTGAAAGCAAACCCAACCAAATGAGAAAATGCAACGATTTCAACTTCAACCATGGCTCAATATATGTCACAAAGAAGGGTATCATGAAACGAGGTTTAAAGGAAGGTCATTTATTATTGAACTAAACCAGCTGACCTGGGAGAAAGGGAGGAGAGAGATGTTAGAGTGTAAGCCACTTACCGTATTTTCCGCACTATAAGGCGCACTTAAAAGCCTTTAATTTTCTCAAAAAACGACAGTGTGCCTTATAATCCGGAGCGCCTTATATATGGATCAATTGGTTAATTGGTTGATCCATACTGGTTGTACACGGCGCTCAGCGACACTGACTCGGATAATGACGAGAGGGAGCCGGGCATGTTGGATGCCGTACTCGCCCAACTGTTCAATTCGGACACTGAAGAAGAAGAATTCGAGGGATTCGTGACGGGGAATGAACTGAAAAAGTGAGCTTTACGTGTTATACGTAACCTAACAATGTTGAGTTATGCACTAACGTTTGAATTAGCGGTATCAGACTGTGTTTCTTTTACTTGTTTACAACTGAACAAGGCTGGGAGATATTGTGAATATGCACATTAACGTTTGAACAACGTTGAGTTATTGTGAATGCACTACGTATAAAACGTAGTTTTAAAACTACATATAAAACGTAGTATATTTATATATTCACAATATCTCCCAGCCTTGTTCAGTTGTAAACACGTTCTATTCTATGCGCCTTATAATCCGGTGCGCCCTATATATGAAAACAGTTCTAAAATAGGCCATTCATTGAAGGTGCGCCTTATAATCCGGTGCGCCTTATAGTGCGGAAAATACGGTAAATAAACCGATTCCTGATGGATTCAGGTGTACCCAGTTAACCAATGGCCTTCCTGACTACGCCTACTGTCTGCCAAACCAGGAAGCCAAACAAACCAAAAACATGCAGACAGATGGCAGGAAGTCCAAACCCTGAGTCCATCAAACTTTTAATGTGAGAGCAACCTTAGTGCCCTCGAGGGGAAATTTGTCTAGGACTAAAACGCTCCTCAATTGTGACAATAAATGAAAAATATGAAAAGAAATCAACGATCCAAAAGTAAACAGGGAAGCATAGAACAAAGAAAACTACAGATTTTGCACATTAGCCATATTGTTCCACTAAGACATTTAGAGAGTTACTCTTCCATGTGTTGCAGCCACATTCTCATCCAACCCTCAGTTTGTGGTGCGTCTGGAGGACGTGGACGACGACCCTCTGGACGAGGAGGACGGCTGCACCTTCCTGGTGGGGCTGATGCAGAAAGACGGGCGCCGGCAGAGGAGGCTCAGTCGCGACCTTGAGACTATTGGCTTTTCTATTTATGAGGTTTTTCTCAGAATTGTTCAATATGTCATCTTGAAAATCAGATTTTCTGGGGGGGAATTAAATAACTTATTGTCTAAAACATCTTGTGTGTTTGCTTTTTACAGGTCCCAGATCAGGTCTGTATTTGTTCTTTAACATGCCAATTAATAATCCTGACAGCAATTCATGCAGAATAACAGAGAACGTGTCTCATAGGTTTTTCTTTTCTGTCATTCTTCAGCTCAAAGGTCGTAGAAATGTTCACCTGGGTCCGGACGTCCTGCTGCGGCAGACTGCCGTGGCCACCTGCAGCACGTTCATCAACACACGTGAAGTGTGCGACCGCTTCAAACTTCCCCCGGGGGAATACGTCATTGTCCCTTCCACCTTTCAGCCTCACAAGAAGGGCAGCTTCATTCTCAGGGTGTTCTCGGAGAAACAGGCTGCAACCAGGTATCTGTGGTCCCGTCCCATCCCCTCAACTTTGGAAGAGGGAGAAGTATAGCAGAAGAATTGGGGATGCAGTGTGTGTTATAGTTCAGTCTGAAGGATCTCAGAGCTTTTGCTGATACTGCCATCTAGTGGACAAAACTCAGACAGCAACTCCATCTTTAGAGTCAGAGTACTTCATCTGCATTAACAGCTTAAATTAAATGTTAATTTAATGTTCTTTGTTTTTTTTAGTCCTCTGGAAGAAGACATTGACGCTGAAATAGAGGAGGTAAGAAAATCAACTTGTGACACTTGTTGATTACAGCTTAAAGGTCCAGTCAGTGAGATGTGTAGTGAGTGAAATGATAAAGGTATCTTACTATCTGATCAGACATTAAGGAAACATGCTATGTTGAAGTGCTGGCTTCTCTGACAACAATGCAGCAGCCAGTATGTCCTCCTTCTAACTTTAGATTCTGCTCCTGAATGCTCTGGATTTGTTTGGACCAGAGAAGGTAAAGCGGTTTTAAGGCAGTTTTGGACGCTCGGTTCACCAGATATGAGAGCAGTTATCAGGTCAAACCAACAGGTTTGGAAGCGGGCAAGAGAAGTGGTTCAGATAGAAGTGATTGTACCCGACCTAAAAAGCCTCTGCATGTTTCTAATAAGCTCCACGAGCAGAAACGTGCTCAAACTAGGATCAATATTGGAGATGCTTTTGAAAAATGGAGAGAGGTTAGAACACAGAAAGGTTTACAGACCCATGCAGAGCTGGATAAACACTGAAGCTTCAGAGTCCACCACATGGTGACCTGTGTGAGCATCCACTCTAGAGGGGGGGAGACAGCTCTCTACTATGTTTTGAATTGAGACTGGAGTACCCATTTTAACCACTAGGGGTCAGAGTTAAATACTGCTCCTTTAACATACTTTTAAACTAAACAAAGACATTTTACTTCAAGTTACTTCTAGTGGTTAATCCGTCTCTTTCTCTGACAGGAGGAGGAGGTTTCTGAGAGTGATGTGGATCCTCATTTCAAGAACCTCTTCAAGCAGATTGCTGGAAATGTGGGTAGAAAACACAAGAAGAGAAAAAGTAATAAATTACCTTTAAGCTGGGATGCATTTTTAAACTGTGGTTTGTTGTTTACAGGACAGTGAGGTGTCAGTGTTTGAACTGGTTAAGATTTTGAACAACGTCGTCTCTCAGCGTGAGTACATTAAACTGTGATATGTGTTGATATGATTTATTTCACTAAATTGTAAGAGCTCTCTCTCTCTCTCTCTCTCTCTCTCTCTCTCTCTCTCACAGGATCTGATATCAGGACTGACGGCTTCAGCCTGGAGACGGGTCGCCTCATCGTCAGTCTGCTGGATGTATCCTCTCTAAGATGTAAACTGAATTGTCTTCCTGACTTTAAATTTGGGAGCAGTAAATTCATACTGTAATGGTAATGATTTCAGATCGAGGAGACTCCAATGGTTTTAAGGCGACCCCCCACACGGCCGTTTTGGACGCCCCTGGTTTGCCAGATATGAGAGCAGTTATCAGGTCAACAGGTGTTGCAGAGATGGAAGCGGGCAAGAGAAGTGGTTCAGATAGAAGTGATTGTACCCGACCTAAAAAGCCTCTGCATGTTTCTAATAAGCTCCACGAGCAGAAACGTGCTCAAACTAGGATCAATATTGGAGATGCTTTTGAAAAATGGAGAGAGGTTAGAACACAGAAAGGTTTACAGACCCATGCAGAGCTGGATAAACACTGAAGCTTCAGAGTCCACCACATGGTGACCTGAGTGATCATCCACTGTGGGGGGGGGGACAGCTCTCTATGATGTTTAGAATTTAGACTGCAGTACCCATTTTAACCACTAGGTGTCAGAGTTACATACTGCTCCTTTAACTTAAACACCCTCCAGAAAGATGAAAGTGACAAACTGGGGCTGATGGAGTTCCACTTGCTTTGGAGCAAAATCCAGAAATACCTGGTAGTTGTTTTGCAATGTTTGTTGTTCATGTTGGAACACCTGAACGTCTGATAATGCAACACATGACCTGTACCTGGTTTATACAGGAGATCTTCAAGAAACATGACTCAGACAACTCGGGCAGCATGAGCTCCCACGAGATGAGACTAGCCACCACTGAAGCAGGTAACAAACTTTGTGTGAATGTGGAATCCCTTTCTGGTACAATACTTGATCTTTGTTTCAACTTTTCACAGAGACTATGTCACTGAAGTAGACAGACATGTTTATCAAGTTTTTTTAGACTCATTAGACAGAATTCCTCGGACCTGCCCTGTGAACGTCTTGTGTTGTGTGTTTGTCTGGATGCATCCGACCTTAATTACGGCCGGTTTTTGTTGAGCATGTGTGAAACGTGAAGCCGGTTACTGGCAGACTGGATAAGCCAGTTAGAGGACTCACCATGCACACCTCCCCACAGGGACAAAACAAGCATGGGCGAGGCTGTGTAACTTAACTCTTCTATTATCAGCCTCCTTGTACCTCACACTTCTGTAAAAACTCTCCCTCCCCAGGATCAGAAAAATAATCCCCATCTGTGAAATTTACCCTACAATCTAAAAGAAAACAATGAAAAGCGACTGGTGGTTGTTTTGTTTTCTTGCCCAGGTTTCCACATCAACAGCCAGGTGCTGCAGGCCATCGTCAGTCGTTACGCCGACTTTCAGTACGCCGTAGACTTTGACAGCTTCGTCGGCTGTCTCGTTAAACTGGAAATGCTGTTCAGTAAGTTTCAGCCAACACAACATCCCCCTCAATCAATCTGATGTTGATTTGTTTGAAGTGAGAGATGTGGATCTTTATATAACACCAGCGTTTCTGTTTTTTCTGCCTCTCAAACAGAAATGTTCAAGTCTCTGGAAAACGCTGACACGGGGAAGATTGAGCTGGACATGCAACAGGTGCGTGAGACAATCGCACAAGCTGCTGGTTTGTCTTCACTTCTGGGCTTGTTGGTGAATATTTTTTGCTTCTTCTTGCAGTGGCTGTGCCTGGCGATCTACTAACTCTGGACGAGACGGACAAGGACTGCTTTGTGATTTCTGCAGAGAGGGGCAGCTCAATCGATCAGTACAAAATTCCTATTAGACATTTTAAATTAATCCTCTTTGTTTCAGACGTTGAATGCTTTTAGCATGTTTGGAGATGTTTTCTATCACTCAAATGTATTTTATTAAAGTTGGAGTCAGTAGCTTTTTTTCACAGTACAACATTCAAACTAAGCCCCTCCTCCTGGACTCATCGCTCCCAGAATCTTACCCTCACTGCAGGACGTAGTGTGTACGTTTACTGCTTGTACTTACACTGCAAGCTAACACACGCTCGCACAAGCTGACCACCGATGATTGTCATCTGCCTGTCCAACAGGAAGCAGACCAACCTCACGTCCACGTGTAAAAGACAACACAAGGTTCACCCTCGTTTTACAATGAGCTTTATTGGCGTTTCATCTCACTATGATTATATTTTCTCTTCTCTTGCTTCGTTCACTCCTGTCATATTCTTTGGTTTTAATTGCGTCCAATCGCTGAATTGTATCCACTCCTTATCAAATCTTATCAAATGTATTTGTCTCATGTCTAGTCATAAATATGTCTCAAGCCGCATTCACCTGACAAGTCCAGATAAACTGCTGTGATAAAAACATCATGTAAATTATACTCGGATACATTAGCTCGTCTGTAAACATATTCTCTTCCTCGGGTCGGTTCCACCCGGTTGTCATGACTACAGTCAATGCATAGTTCTTTTAAATCGGGGGGCAGGGGGAGTAGCAGGAGAATCACTCCCATGATTCCCCGCCAAGCCTGTCATTTTTTTGATACTGTTTTGATTGAGAACCTCCTGGTGGTTGGAATCTACATACTGTGCCTTTAATTTGGAATTGTCAGGTGAATGTGGTTCATGACGAGTGCACCTGCTAAGATTTAAGTGTTTTGCAGGTTAGGGGTTAAATTGTCTTCATAGTTGGTGTTTTGTGATTTCAGCTTTTTGCAAGACAAAAAATAAAGACAGAATGAAAGAAACTTTTGCTTGTGGACATTTTAAAATCTTGCACGGATAGAAAAGTCTGAGATACACCAGATTAAATATTGACACAGTTTCTGTTCCTGTTAGTTTTTATTGTTTATGATTCTTGTAATAAATAAACGATCAAATGACAGAAAGTGTGGTGTCTATTGAGGCAAAACAATGAAGAAATATTGTTGATATCTAAATTCCAATGATCAGTTTTCTTCTAGAGTTTTACTCATCCATGTGCACATCTGGGCAGATTATGGCCATCAATGAAAGCCAAATGTCGAGCAGGTTGGATGAAACAGGTGAGGTGTTGATGTCTGGTATGAACAATAAAGGGTGTGGAGACAGTTGAGCTGCATACACGAGACAGAGCCAGTCTTACCGCACACCCTTTACAGACACACACAGACAAGGAGACACTCCACACAAAGTCTTACAGCCTTTTAAAAATGTCCGGCATTGCAGCTAGACTTAAGCACAACCGAGACAAAGCTCAGGGGATCGGAACCAACTCTCACGCGGTGAAGTACCTGAACCAGGACTATGAGAGTCTGAGGAGAGACTGTCTGGAGAGAGGGAGGCTGTTTGAGGATGATTGCTTTGATGCCGAGCCTTCTTCCTTGGGCTTCAAAGATCTCGGACCAAATTCCTACAAAGTTCGAGGCATCAAATGGAAAAGACCAAAGGTGGGTTCAGTATGAAAAAGGGAAACTAATGCTGAAAGTTCAGGCTGGTGCTGCAGTTATTTACATGCACACAAGAACAACAAGCCTTGGGCTATATTGGCCTGATAGATTAAAATCTCTAGCTAAGACTTGCAGAAGAAGATATGACATAAAAAGTCTTTGTAGCTGATGTTTGTTGTAGTTTGTTGGTGTTGGGTTGGAACTGCTTCTCTAAATATCAAATAGTTTATCCTTCATCGTAATCCTTTCAGACAATATGATGTTTCTCGTCATGCAAAGGTGACAAAGTTTTCTAATTTTGTTCTTATGAAATTACAAATCTGCAACCTGCATGTCTCGTATTAGTGTTTGCAGTATTGCAGCCTGACTGGGTGTGATTCAAGGCATCTTAATTTGCATGCTGTATACTTTGAGAGCTTTGTGGGTTGTCCCGTTAAACTGGAAACACTGTTCAGTAAGAGTTAACAACATCACCTCAGTTAATCTAACACTGCTGGTTTGTATGATGTGGGAGATTTGAAAATGTCTGCAACACAGATAGCTTCTGTTTGTGCCTCTCAAACTGAAATTATTAAGCTTCTTGTCATGCTGAGGTGACAAATCTGCAAACATGCAGCTCTCTTCTCAGTGTTTGCAAAGTTGCAGCCTGACTAGGTGTGACTGGATGCATCTTAATTTGCAACTACAATGTCCAGTTTTCCTGCTGTTTGTAGGGACATGAGCAACACTTATTACAATATGTATGTTGGGTTTGGTTTCCTGCAAAAAAAATCATCATCCAATTCAGGGTGGATACAAGATCAGATACCAAAAAGGAAGTGCATACCATAGACTGTAAATATTGCACAGTGTGTGACAGTGATGACAATAACTAATCAGAACTATTTGGTTTTTTGTACCAGGCTGTAAACATGTTAATTTCTGCTGTAAAAACTGCTTCTTGCCAGTCATGTGTTTGTGACTTCTGGTGTTCCTGGAGCCAGCCTCTCGTGGACACTCGAGGAACTGCAGGATTTTGCACTTCCTCATTGGCTTCTATTTTTAAGACCGGAGGCTGGCGCTTGGTACATACATGTGGAAGCGATATAACTTGACTCGAATTTGCTTTTCTCTTCAAAGGAGTTGAGTTCAAATTCACAAATTCAAAATACAACCATCGCTGATTTTTGTCGAGGATGTTTGCGTATCAAAATTGCAAACCAAATAAGATTCTGTTTTCCTGCAGTGTCAAGACTAAAAGTGCTTTATTATTTACAGTGTATGTGTGTCATCTCCAAACACATCCATCCCATAGAGTGGCTTCATCACAAAGTAAGGTGTTATGTGAGGAAGCATTATAATTGACCAAATTTCTTCTCTCCTTTTTCTGCAGGATATCTGTTCAAATCCACAATTCATCATTGAGAATGCAACCAGGACTGACATTTGTCAAGGAGCACTTGGTGAGAAACTCACGCACACTAATTCATACGCTTCAATCGACGTCTGTGTCTTACCTTTTGAATCTTACCTGCGGTTATAACTGACCTTTTTATTCATTCAAATGAAAGTTGATGGCACATTAAAATATTCGTTGACACTTTTATCTCTGTCACATTTTGCATGAATGATGCTAATCTCGGACTACGAATATTAGCAGATGAGAATTCAATAACGCTCTCTCTCCTGCGGCTCTTCTCCATGCCGTGTGCTCTGCAGAGTCTTTGTGTTTTGTAACTGAACACCGTTAAAATGCCATCCAAGAGTAAATGCCTTTGCTCTGACATCAGCTGTCACAAAACAGCTCAACAACTCCCTCTCTGCCTACACCCAGTCTGTGAGAAAGTATGCATATGTGGGAGAGACGTTCTTGTTTGCGGCTAATAAGTAGAAAGGGAGGACAATAGATGTGACTGTGCACTGCTGAGGGGTGTGAGCAAACCAACTGCATGCTAAGTAGGTCTTGGACATGTGTCATGATGATCTCCGGAGTCGAGTTGTTAAAAAAACTTTATCCAGGATCAGAGTGATTTAGATTTTGAAAGCTAATCTTTCGCTATCAGGAATCAGCAATTCCTATTTAAATAAATATAACGATGCAAACAATCCTTTGTTGTTTATTTCCCTTTTAAAACAGTCAAGCTGTCATCAGACAGAGAAAGATACAAAACCATACTAGAGGATACTGTGAGATATGATAAGTGAAATCAAATTATATTTTATAGAAGTTGTTTTCCAACCTTTTTCCTGTATTTATATTCATTTCATAAAGTTGAAATGTTCTGCTGATCCCTGTTTTACAACTCACATGTAGTGTTACAATGCTGGATGTTCACACTAAATGTGGTCAAAGTTTCAGATCAAGAGGTTAACGTATGTCAGAGTAATCCCAGCATAAGTCTGCAGGGGGTGCTAAACAGCTCCTTCTGCAAATTACATGATAATTACCTGATAAGAAACCAAAAATTTCCCTAGATGGCTTCAAGCCTCTATGTACATAGACTCTCTTCTCCCAGCACTGGAGAGCAGCCCTCAACCTGGAAGCCCTGCAGCGTTCTGACCCCCCCCGTAAGGCTTCCAGAGAGCTGGCCAATCAGAAGAAAGTGGGTACATGGGGAGGAGGGGGGGGCCTTAAAGAGACAGTAGCTGAAACAAACTGTTTCAGGCAGAGTGTTTTTTTACAGACACCAGTATCAGATACATGAGGAGGTTTTTTGAGCTGCAGATTATGAAAAGCTAGTCTAAAGGTTTCACAGACCGACAACATGTAATGGTTATTTGTTTCTGATATGAGAGGCGCAGCGCCATGTTTGAGAAATATGGCACCTGCTGTGCCATGGGAAACAAATTAGCCGGGTAGAGGATGATCGGCAAGCACAACAGAAGTGACAGCCATCCATACGCACACTCTTGGCTTCATTTTTGTACAACAGGAGAAGGTGGAGACGCGTCATCCATCTTTATATACAATCAAACCAACAGCAAAAATCAACACAGATAACTTTGGAGCATTGTGCCTGGGTGTAATACGAGCCTTTACACAGGAGTCCTTTTTCCCTCTGACACTGTTGTCCTGTGTTCAGGTGACTGCTGGCTCCTGGCAGCTATCGCTTCCCTGACTCTCAACAAACAGGTTCTGTCTCGTGTCGTCCCTCACGACCAGAGCTTTGAGGAAAACTACGCTGGAATCTTTCACTTTGAGGTGCAAAAAAATGGACACAAACATCCGCCTCTGCAAGAGTTTTTAAAGCAGCACAAACAGGTTGGCTTTGAATCAAACTGTGTCTTCTCTGCGTCTCTCAGTTCTGGCAGTTTGGCGAGTGGGTGGACGTGGTGGTTGACGACCGCCTGCCGACCAAGGATGGAGAGCTGCTGTTTGTTCACTCAGAGGAGGGCTCTGAATTCTGGAGCGCGCTGCTCGAGAAGGCTTACGCCAAGTAATGACGGCACATCTGCATTTATTTCCCTTCCTCTTAGTTTGCTAGTCTTTCTCCGGTCTTATCATTCATAAGCTGCTCCTCCCTGCAGGATTAATGGATGCTACGAGGCTCTTTCTGGAGGCAGCACCACCGAGGGTTTCGAGGACTTCACGGGCGGTATCGCTGAGAAGCACGAACTGAAACAAGCAGATCCCCACCTCTTCCATATCATCGAGAAGGCCCTGGCTAGAGGCTCCCTCCTGGGGTGCTCATTGATGTGAGCTTGTGTTTTTTTTTTTGTTTGCTTTAATGCAGTGTGGATGGTATACTTGTGTTTTTTTTTTGTTTTAACTGTCAATCTTTTCCTCCACATCCCCAAAAAGATCACGAGCTCGGCCGACTCAGAAGCCGTCACTCATCGAAAGCTGGTGAAGGGCCATGCGTACTCGGTGACAGGAGCAGAGCAGGTGAGGGAGTGCTTTATGTCCGTATTAAAGTCTTTATATGTGATTTTTCACACTTAAATATAATATAAATCAAGTCTATCCTCTGAAAATAACACCTGAGTCCCACTGTCTGTGATGTTTTCAGAGTTTTCAGAGTCTTATCTTCACTTTGTTTACATCGTCGGGACGGCCGGCTGACTCCTCCCCTCACGTATAAAAGTTGTTTAATTGAGGGACTAGAGAAAAGAAGAATAACATACTGTACTCACTGCTTAACTGTGTTTCTAGATCACGCTTATTTCAGGTAAATTTACATGCAGTGTGAAGACACCAGCATAATAAAGATCGCTAGCGAGTTGTTTTGGTTTAATGCTGGTGCTCAAGGGCGACATCTGCTGGATGAAAAAAGTTTTTTCTTTTTTTCCTGTTGAGAGTATCTGACACCTTTATTGTTTGTCAGGTGTCTTACAGAGGGCGTAAGGAGAAGCTGATCAGGATTAGAAACCCGTGGGGTCAGGTGGAGTGGAATGGAGCCTGGAGTGACAAGTGAGTATGCCACACTTTACTTTTTTAAAAACATAAATCTGCTCATATCAGCTCTGCCTACACTTACAGTACACGGCTTGTGTTTAAATGAGGACCCAGCCTGATTGAGGCATCTTCATCCTTTGTCTGGGTGAAGGTTTTAATTGTGTATGTGCTGAAGTGATTCATTTTACACACCCAGTGGAATGACTGGTAGTTCCTGTCTTAATTATATTTGTCATTATATTTGTCACCATGCTGGTTTGCTTGAATCAATAATAATCACACAAAAGGGTTGAGCTGGAGATGAGCAAGAAGCGAGCCAGTATTTAGCTGTTGCTAGTCCATGTTGTTAGCTGGTAGCTTTTTGTTGATGGACGGCTTGCCAGAACAACCCCCCTCCCCACCGGATTGTTGATGGACAGCTTGCCCCAGCTTGCCCCCTCTAGTCCTGTGAAGGCTGTTTCGTCATGAGCCGGGGATCCGGCCGAAGATTTCTGCCTTTTAATAAGGCAGTTTTTTCTTACCACTGTAACTTTTTCTGCTTCACTAAAGTGCTCATGATGGATAGGCCGGATCTTTGTAATATAACAATGAGTAAGGTCTTTTACCTGCTTTTTGTAAAGTGTCTTGAGATAACACTTGTTATGAGTTGACGCTATACAATTAAAAATTGATTGATTGATAGCTTTTTATAAAACTTAAAGATAAAGTCAGTAGATGCTTCCCTCAAAACCTCCCCCCAAAAATTCAGACTCGTACAAAAGTAGAGCTACTCAATCATCACTTCTGGGCCTCCATGCATGTGTCATGGTGACTGTGTCTGCAGAGACTCTGTCCTCTGACTGTGTTTTGATATTTTGGTAGACATGGGAGGTTTCTGGGTTCGGCAGCGAGGGTGAACCTTGTGTTGGCTTTTACCTGTGGACGTGGAGTTGGTCTGCTTCCTGTTGGCAGTCAAGTGGCAAACACCGGCGGGTAGCTTGTGCTAACGTACCAACATATCGGCTTTCCAATACAACAAATGTGATATTCTTAGGTGGCTTGCAGTGTAGGTGCAAGCAGTAAAAGTAACCGCCAGTGGGCGCTCGTTTCTGGACGAGGGGCACAATTAGAAGGTTGTGTTTACAAACTGCAAAGACTCTACTTTTAAAGAAGCTAAGGGTCATTTAGCATCTAACCTGTTTGGTTCAGCTAAAACAAACTCGAGTCCTTTTGCCAAGTAAGTGGGGTCCGTTTGCTCTGGCTGTCAGTCAAACCATGGTGCTGAACCAACAACCGTACAGGGACTGCTTGAAAAGGTGGTAATGGACCCTAACCCTAACCAAAAAACTACGACCACTTTTTTTCTAGGTCATCTGAGTGGAGATATGTGAGTGACGATGACCGAGAAAGACTGTTCGACCGTCGAGAGAACGGGGAGTTCTGGTAAACCTTGTTGAAACTCTTTATTCTTCTATGTTTGAGTTTTTTCAGCAAAAAAACAACAAAAAAATTAATTGTTAATCTGATAACAAAAATAAAGGCAAGGTCATGAAGATGCCTTTTTTTGTACACAGGATGACATTTTCTGAATTCCTGCGCCAGTACTCTCGCCTCGAGATCTGCAACCTCACACCTGACGCTCTCACAGGCGATGAGTACAAAAAATGGGCGGAGTCAGAGTTTGAAGACACCTGGAGGAGGGGCTCTTCTGCTGGCGGATGCAGAAACTATCCAAGTAAGACCAGCCTTCAAGTCTGATTTGTATCAAGCTAGTTTGGTAAATGGTGACACCTACACATTCACACCCTGATGGTAGAGGCTGCTACGTAAAGTACCACCAGAAGTCACATTCATACACTGATGACAACGCAGAAGGAGCAATTTGGGTTTAAGTCTCTTTCCCAAGGACACGTCGGACATGTGGCTGCAGGAGCTGGGGATTGAACCCCTGACCTTCCAGTTGAGAGACGACTGACTCTACCCACTGAACCACAGCCGCCCCTGTTTTGTAGGTTGTCATCACCAGCTGTGTGTTATGGCTCAACCCTTCCTTCCCTTCATAGATTCCTTCTGGACAAACCCTCAGTTTGTCATCAAACTGGACGAGGTGGACGATGACCCTGATGAAGGCGAGGAGGGCTGCACCTTCATCGTTGGCTTGATGCAGAAGAACAGGCGCCAGATGAGGAAAATGGGGCAAGACATGGAGACTGTTGGCTTTGCCATTTACGAGGTGAGCACCCGTCTCAACGCTTTTCATTTGCACTGTTTTTATTTAGAAGTGACTTTTTGTAATTAAAAAAAAAACAAGACACTGACTTTCCTAAATTTGTCATATCTTGAATGTTGTACTTTGTAACGCCATGACAGCTTGATCGCATGCATTATAGATGAGTTTTTGCCAAACTCAAATTTGACGTTCACTGTACGTCTTGCTATAGCATTCCCACCGGGGACTTCAAGAGTGGCTGCAATTTCTCTCGACATTCTCCACTTTATCGAGGTTGAAACCTTTTAAGCGTACAATTTGTCGAATATTTACACCAAAATATCTAAATTAATTTAAAATTGACTAAACATATGTTGTATATTTTTGTTGTTGCTGAGTACTTACATCACCTCAACTATACAGATAATAACAGAATCGCCATGACAAACAAGACATATGTCGTTGCCGTGGAAACACCAGATGTTACGTCAAAGACCGCTGCATAAGAAAGCGTGAGCTGCTACTGAAAGCTGCGGTTCTGTTGCTGTATGAGCTGCTGTGATAAAAGACATCATGTAAATTATACTCGGATACATTAGCTCGTCTGTAAACATATTCTCTTCCTCAGGGTGGTTTCACCCGGTCGTCATGACTACAGTCAACGCATAGTTCTTTTAAATCGGGGGGCAGGGGGAGTAGCAGGAGAATCACTCCCATGATTCCCCGTAAACCTCGACGTCATCTTTTGTTATTGTTTTGATTGAAAGAATCTGCACACTGTGACTTTAAGCCTATTAAATTGCAGATTTATTTATTTTTAGTCTTAATATTAGTTATAGAATTTGTAGAGCCATGGCCATTCTTGCATTTATAGGATTGCGGTAGTTTTAGTGTTGAGGTTAAACAGTTATATGAGAATGTTTTTTGCATTTCCACTCATTCTGACCTATGTGTTGTGTTTTTTTTTTCAGCTGCCTAAAGAGGTAAGTGTACAATATTTGTATATTTTTCTGCAGAATAACTCATCAAAACTCATGACAGAACTCGTCAGCTATTCTTTCTTTTTATCCTCTTGATTTAAAAATTTCTGCTATTTTTGGGAGGAAAACTTTGATTGTTTCATATGTTTGGGTGGTTTTCTATAACCTATGTTCTCTGGTGTGGTTTTCACATAAGCCATTTAAACATTTCGACCACGCCCACACACACTTCTTTATCGTCTCCAGATGTCTTGTATTTCTTGAATCAAAAATAAATACACAAATAAAGTGCGCCCTCATGCTGACGTGATCCTCCTGTGTCATTCCTAGTACTGGGGCAAAAAGCAAGTGCACCTGAAGAAAAACTTCTTTCTCAGAAACTGTTCAACAGCTCGCTCCGAGACCTTCATCAACCTGCGCGAGGTGTGCAGCCACTTCTGTCTGCCCCCCGGGGAATACCTCATCATCCCGTCCACGTTCAAGCCTAACAAGAACGGAGACTTTTACGTGCGGGTGTTCTCCGAGAAGCCGGCGGACTTTCAGTACGTTCCCTTCTCAAAGATTGAATAATGATGACGAACAGTATGGATAAACAACCTCTGAAATATAGATTTAACTGTGACTTTTTGCTACTGTTAGAGAGATCGACGACCCCGTAGAGTGCAACGTTGAGCAGGTAAAATACATTCTGATGCCTTATTTAAACATACCAACAAAGAGACTGATTGCATTCTCGTCCTTAGATTGATGTTGAACATGGTGACATCAGTAACAGCTTCAAGAGACTGTTTGGACAGCTCGCCGGACACGTAAGGAAATATTTGACTTGTCGTCACACATAATTCCTCTCATGATCTACAACGTGTCTCCGTTGTGTGTGTCTTTTAGGATGTGGAGATTTCTGTATTTGAACTGCAGAAAATCCTCAACAGAGTGGTGATGAAGAGTAAGAAACGTTTTCAGCTCTGTTACAGAAGTGCGACGCGTAGCCTGCGTTTTATGTGCGACTGACACTCAGAAATGAAAATCCTTGTTTTTTTTATTCTTTTGCAGGAAATGACATCAAAACGAACGGGTTCAGTCTGACAACCTGCCGCAATATGGTCAACCTGCTGGATGTATCCTTCCTCATACCGAGTTATGTTTAACGTCCTGTTGTTTATAGGAAGCACATCCCAAGTACAGACTCTTCAAAAGACACCGTGATTTTGCAAAAGAATAGTTGGCTGTAGTGATGGAGTCTGCAAGCTAGAGTTCTAGATCATGGACTCATTATGATTATAATAATAATTATGATGTATAAAAGTATGCAACACGCGTTGGTGACGCTCCCAGGTCTGCTCGCACTCATCAGCTAATTGCAGGTATTCCGTCGGACGCAGCACGACCTGGAATCATAAATATAAAACAAGTTTGATATTTACATTTCGAGATCGAGAGCAGTGCAGTAATCGTGCTGACATCACACACTGGAGGAATATTTGGAAAAATTATCGGTAATAATCGCCACTGCCAATGCTGCACAGTTGACTTCCAAGAAAGCGATATTTAAAATGTGTATTAGGCCCCGTGTTCAACTAGATTATTTTTCCTGAGCACCAGCACCAGTAGAGAAGAAACGCAGCGCCCAGCATCTTTTTTTCCGAGCGCTTTGCCTTTTTGTGCGGCCGCTCCGAGCGCTCAAGTTGAAACTCTTTCAACTTTTCAGAAAAAGACGCTGTTGACGTCCCCGGTGCTCTTTTCCAAATGTCTGATATTCCCCGTAATTTTGCCGCCTTGGGATCGTGTCTTGTACCCTCGTCCTCCTCGCTCCGTGTCTGATTTGGGAAATAAATGATCTCAAATATAAAACATGCAGTAAAAAGAAAACGGAGCAGTGTAGTCATACAAGGGCTGTTGTAAGCATACTGTTGTCAACGGACTGTTGTCATGGAGACAGGACAGACGTGCAGCGCTTTTCTTCTCAGCGCACAAACGCTTCATGCAAACACACAGCCAGTAACTAACCACTAGTGTACCTGCGTCCCTGTATATCACTTATTTTATTGCTTCTTCCCTCTAAATGAAACCCGACATCTTTAGTTAGCTGTCCTTCGACGAGTGTGTTACAATCGTCTTTGACATTTTCTTCAAAGAAAGATGGAAGCGGCAAACTTGGGCTGGTAGAGTTTAAGATCCTGTGGACAAAGATCGAGAAGTTTCTGGTGTGTGACTCATAGATGTGTTTTTTTTTTTTTTTTTTCATTTCACTGTTTATTATCACAGCTTCATTAACCCTATGTGCTCTCTGTTAGGATCTGTACAAAGAGAGAGACGCAGACCAGAGCGGATGTATGAGCTCCTGTGAGATGCGGGTGGCTGTGGAGGACGCAGGTAAGGAATCTTTTCACAAAAGTTTTTAAAGTTACATTTATTTCTTTTTGTGTTGTTTAAAGCACAACTAAGCTCGGATAAGTTTAGTTTACTGAGAAAATTCGAATAAACATGTGGCCTTAAAGGAGCAGAATGTAACTCTGACACCTAGTGTTTAAAATGGGTACTGAATAAATGAATCTAAAAAAAAGTGAATACACTTAAAGGTCCAATCAGTGAGACGTGTACTGAGTGAGATGATAAAGGTATCTTACTCTCTGATCATTAAGGAAACATGCTATGTTGAAGTGCTGGCTTCTCTGACAACAATGCAGCAGCCAGTATGTCCTCCTTCTAACTTTAGATTCTGCTCCTGAATGCTCTGGATTTGTTTGGACCAGAGAAGGTAGGCACTTTTAAGACCCCCCCCCCCACACACACACACACACACACACACACGGCTGTTTTGGACGCCCCTCTGTTTGCCAGAGAGCAGTTATCAGGTCAAACTGCTCTCTACAATGTTTAGAATTTAGACTGCAGTACCCATTTTAACCACTGGGGGTCAGAGTTAGATATAGCTCCTTTAACTTTTTTTTTTTTTTTTTTAAATAGTTGAATTATTCCGGCTTACTTACTGGTTGAATAGAGATAAGATATAAGAAAAATTCACAACAGCAAAATCTTTTAGAATTTGAAGAGCTTTTTGCTTATAAACTTTGTGCACATTTCAAAATGTGGATTTTTTTTTGCCTTTGTGTTTAATATGTTTAGTTAATTTCATCTTTGTCAATCGTTTGCACACCCGCAGGTTTCTCTCTCAACAACCCTCTGCATCAGATCATCGCTGCCCGCTACAGCGAACCAAACCTCAGCGTTGACTTTGACAACTTTGTGTGCTGCCTGATCCGCTTAGAGTTTCAATTCAGTGAGTTTTTAACCCTTTTTCTTTGTTACCTTACAGCCGTGAATAAATGATCTTAATGTTTTTTTTTAAATCTCAAAAAGACACTTTCAAGACGCTGGACGAGGACAGCACGGGTAGGATAAAGCTGGGATTCATGGAGGTAAGAGATGTGTGAAAACAACAGAAATACCATCACGAGCGATGTTTCACAGACAAAATAAAGACTAATGTGTGTTTTTATCCACAGTGGATAAATCTGTCGATGTTGTAGAAGAGGATTTGCTGTGTTTTCTGTGTGGTTTGTGACTGCTGTTAATCAAAGGATGCTAATTTGAAGGGAAAGTTATTTACATTGTTTGACTATTTACCAACATAATAAAGCTTTAATGGACAACAAATTATATCAATAATTAAGATCTGTCGTCGTGTCAATTACTTCTGTCTCTGTCCTCTTTGTTTTACTTCTAAAAGTTGTCCCACAATTCATGCGTTATGTCTTTTATTGGCTGAATGGTACATAGCAGAGCATACAGTAGCCAGCTTCTGCCGACCACCAACTCTAACTCAGTGATTCCCAAACAAAGGGGCGTGTCCCCTAAAGGGAGGAGGGCAGAGTTATGATGGCAAGGCTAAAAAGAAAATCCATGCACACAGTTCTGCTCTGCTTGAAAAGCATGGCCAACGTGCAAAGGAGAGATGAGAAAATATGACAAGCCATAACCCATCCTCAGCCTCCCCAGTACAAGAAGGGTCAATGAAGAGTGAGACCACAGAGTGTGTTGTGCATTAAAGGGGACAGATTATGAAAAATGCCCTTTGACAGTGTTTTTGAACATTTATCTGGGTAACCTGAGAGTCTACTGACCCACAAAATGTGAAATAAACCCATCCAGTCCTTTGTTTGTGGTCTGCATAAGTCTTACAACACCGAGAAAAATGCTTTGTTTCAAATATGCTCTCCTTGTGATGTCACAGTGGGATTCTGGTAAAAAAAAAAATCCCCTCTCCTCCCCTGGTATCTCCACCCATGGACTCCACCCCCAGCCTAGAGAAAAACTTTAGCACAGGTCGGCCATTTTTATTCTCACTACAGAGGAGTGATGTCTACGGGGAAAACTCAGGGGGGGGGGGGCTTATTGCATTTAAAGAGACACACACACCAAAACGGAGCGTTCTGAGAGAGCTGGTTTATACAGGGTCACAAACCTCCTCTGGTGCTTGATTCATGTTATATTTTGACCAAAGCACAGCACAGATGTTTCATTTAGACCACAGGGGGGCTGTTTGAAGAGGTGGAAAAGGGGGGTTATAGGCCCTCTTTAAAGTATTGGCTCCTGAATGATTTAGGTTTCCCCAGAAATAAAACCTGGATGAGAAGGAAGTTGGAGCAATAACAAAACACTGAACAGGTCACAAAAAAAGGTCAAAGAAAAGGTTGGCTCCGGGGTTTTTGAAAGGTGGTGGTGGGAACATAGCTCCCCAAAGACGTCTGATTCTATCTATTGGACTAGACCCAAAACTAAAGAGAAGTGGGAGTGTGAGGACAGAGGGGGGAGAAATGAAAGTGGCCGAGAGAAGTGAATCTCTTCAACACACACAACTTCAGATTCTCACCCAAACAGAAAACACAGGAAGGTGACTGATGGCATTGACACACAACCAACCGACCGACCTCCCTTCACAGCCTCCCAGGCCGGCTGAGTGTCAAACCTGTGACCTATAGCGGTTGAGATTGAGATTTAGGTTTTCACAGCAATAATGCATGCAACGTTTAGCAGGGAAAGAGAGTGAGAGCTGTCAGATAGTGCCCCTTTTAGGGAGTTTTCCTACTGTCATTGCAAAAATTGCACGTTTGGGCCACTGCTTTGGTTTAAGTTTGTGAGCCCTCAGGGGCCATCTACTGGTCTGGGGCCCCGAGTAGTTGCCTGCCTTGCTCTTTTTGACAAGCAGCACCTTGGGCCACGTGTAATAATCAGGTCAGAGTTCAGTTCCTGAAGTCCTCCAGTAGATGGCAGAGTTTTTAGAGATTCCGGTTTCCTGCTTTGACGTCACTGACCGGGTGATACAAAACTCATGCCTGCAGCAGCAAAGTTTCCTACTGACACAGTTATGCAGCAGAAGCCATTTCCTGCTCTGCGTCTTTCTCACACACACACACACACACACACACACACACACACACACACACACACACACACACACACACACACACACACACACACACACACACACACACACACACACACACACACACCCTCTCCACTGTTACCAGGTCACCAACAAAGTCTCTGAATCACATTTTTACCAGCAGGCTTGTCAACTGTCTGCACTTAAAATTCAGCATATAGGAGTTTCTGTCACAGATTCCAGTCTGCATAGCAGCATAGCAGGCGTGCTATGACATGTGCTGACATTCAGGCAGCTGAAGCGAGTCCGGATGTTGGGCGGGGCTCTGACTTTCTGAAAAACCACTAATCCGCAGAGAGGAAGAAAAGCCACCGTGATGCTGAAACAGAGTAACTGTATTTAAAAATAGTCGCCGTGGAGAAACAACAAATTCTCTATCTGACGAAAAAGACCTTAAATATTTCACAACAAAGTGTTTAACCAACAGGAGGGGTTTGTGTGTGTGTGTGTGTGTGTGTGTATCCAAGGATATGAGCAGACATACACATGAGCATTATGTGTAGTAGTAGCAGAATTAATGTGTATATAATTTCTAGTCTTATTTGTTTTATCTTTTGCTTACTATCAATTTATTTCCTAACCCACCTCTCTCTCTCTTCTTGTCTCATACTCGACCACACCACACAAAAACTCTCTCTCTCTCTCTCTCTGTCTCTCTCTCTCTCATCTCTCCCTCTCTCTCTCATCTCTTCCTCTCTCTCTCTCTCTCTCTTCCTCTCTCTCCTCTCTTTCTCTCTCTCTCTCTTCCTCTCTCTCTCTCTCTGTCTCTTCATCTTCTTCATCTTAGTGAACAAATATCTGCATATTAAAGAAGAATCTAAAGGAGGGAGACAAGATCTTTGGAGCCTGCCGCTACTGGTTTCCACTTGTAGCCCTTTAGCATTTAAGATAGCTTGTTTGCAGGGGAAAAACAAGCAGAAGAGGCACAACCATCAGCTTTAAAACATCCACTTCAGTTCATTATGCACGTGTGATTGACTGCTTGATCATTAACTCTTTGAATCGACACATTTATTCACTGACAAAACCTTTTTTTAATAATCCTCCAGATTTGACCATATTTGGTAAAGAGGGTGGGAACACATTGCTACAGCTCTATCCTGGCAGCGACTCATCAATCACAGGTTGCCACACCCTAAACCTTATGCATGGAGAAGGCAGGGTTTGTGTCAGAGCCTAAAAAGCACCCTGCTTTATCATCTATTACTCTCTAAATGGGACCCTAATTATATCATTTCTTTGTGAATGTTTTGCTTCATTGTATTGCAGGAAGGACCATGGAGGACATGTACATATATATATTTGTACACACATATCACTTCCAATATTTTCACACGTTCACAATTTCAAACAGTTGCAAGTAATTTTAAATACCAGGAAGAAAAGTTTAACTAACTTCAAACCAAGCGGCAAAAAGGGGAAATGAAGCCAGTGCTGAAGTGTAACAGACTGCAGTTCCTCGAGTGTCCACTTGAGGCAAAACGCTCAGCGCCTTATTGCAGGAGTATTGTGCAGCTTTTACGTCTGCTAAACTTGTGCGAATTAGCCATAATCACATTCCCAAAGCACGTGCAAAGGGTTAAACGCTCCCCTAACTCCACTGACGAGCAAACAGCGCCTCTGTGCGCCGCTGATGTTAGCCCATATTTATTAATGCATTTGTTTGAGGCTAAGTTGGCCCAGTTCATCTGCATAGATAGGGGGCATGGGGGCTAAACAACTGCGCTAACAGTCACGCACAGGTTAGAGTGTAAATTGCATCGTCTACTGAGAGTTGGCGGTAATTGCGCCGCATGATTTACAATGTTTGTCAAGTGCAAACTTTCCAGTGATATGACATGATACGATACAATACGACACGATGATAAACAAGAGCAAAACTGCACCAGCAGAACAACTTTAAAGGCTTTTCTTGCGCTTGAAAAAGATTAGCGCAAAACACGTAGTGACTTGGGCCTTGAGTCAGAGCAGACAGCAGCTATCAATGGAGCTTTTTAGCAGCCGCGATCCTTTCACAGTGAATCAGGCCCTCAGACTTCTTTTTCAAAATAGGTGATCAAGATCAAGTCCCGCGATGTGAGAAAATTGTCTTATAGGCTCTTCACACATGCTGCATTCATAAAAAGATAACGAAGATGTCCGAAAAAAAGTAGAAGATAAATAACATCCGGTTCTTAAAATACCAGTTCACAAACAACCTTTTCTGCCTTATTTGCTACTTTAAAAAAAATAAAAATAAGTAGAATGCATGTTTAAGGCACTTCAGTATTGGCCCAACTTTGGGCACCAGGCGCTATATGACTCCTTTTTATTTTGGATTAGGAAAACAGGCCTGGCAACAAGTCAGCACAATACCTAAAAGTACCCATGAGTCATTATTGGTGATCTACATAATTTTGCGCTGACTCATTGCTTAACTCAGATCGCGACGTTCTGACTGAAACTGAGCCGACATCCTGAATTTAAACTTGAAGTTCTCATCTCTTGACTGATCTGCTGAGGTTTGGTGTTTGCTGTGTTAGTGTGAGATTTTATTTGAACCCAAAACATGATTTTCTACCTTCTAATAAAGATTAGAAGAAGAGTATTTGAATCTATATCCAGGTGTAACATCTGTCTTCCTATAGGTAGATAGATGACATGTCTGTGCACTCATCATAATGTTTACCTTATAAGGCCACTGAGCTGCTTCTCCACAGCAGATTAGTTCAAAAATGTGGACAGGTTTGTTCTCCATATAAGGGTGTGATGTGCCGCTCCCACAAATCACTGTCTCAAGCTCACCTGAGGTCTTACCTAAAAAAAGGAAGGCATCTACCTGAAGCAGGGTTTGGAGGATCAAACAGATTACAAATAAAGGATAAAAATCCCTCTGTGCTAGAAAATGAGGTACTAACATCTACTGTGTTTAAGGCTTGTAATGTGATTGTGATTCAATGCAAACGATGAGGTTGCAGCAGAAACTGTCACACCTGAGAAAAAAGGGGTGGTACCCAGTTTGGAGGTGTGCTCATTTAGCCCGGGCTCCTCCTCTATGAGTCAACCTGCTCTCTCCTTCCTTATGACCCTACAGCAGCTTGAGAGCTGTTGCCATTTTTCTCTGCTGCCTCCACACATCAGTCAAAATGGTGAGTAACTTTCACAGAGAGCTCAGCTGCAATGATTTGTCCATTTACAACTTCTTTGTGATTTTGTGTGCTCCAGAGCTGATTAAACAAAGCCAACACTATTTTTAGCACGTGTTTAAAAGTTTAAAGTCAGTGAAGCTTTGTTGTAAATCTTTTCAGTGTAAATTCCCACTTCATGGTTTCTGTAAAGGAAAGAGTAGAGAGAGTTTAGTGTTTGCAATGTTATTGTTCAAGGTGTGGTTTTTGCCTCCAAAATGGAGGGAGCTTTGTTCATGCTTCAAACTTGTTCTGAGACAATCCCTCGGGGCGGTCTTTCTTGTGCTAACTTGTTCCACAATGACTGGAATGTGACACAGCAGAGGCCTTGAAAAGCATAGGGAAGCTACACCCAACGGGCATGTTGCTGCTGCCTTTTTTAAACTGAATATGGGGTAGAAAATGTTCACATTTTGTCTGCTTAAAGAGAGTGAACACGTCTCTCCACAGTCGAGTTTTGAAGAGCTTCCTGTTTCTTCATCTTTCAGTTCTGCTTTCTGTGTCAGAGCAAGAGAGCAGCAGCAGCAGCGTGTGCTCGGGCCGGAGCATGGCTGCAGACAAACTGCTCACACTGCACTGCTGTCTTCAATCATTTCATGAGACTGAAACACACACTCTGTCTCACTGAAGCACAAACTCTGCCTTCTGTCCATTACTTTCAATGAAGTGAAAATAAATGTGTTTATTTGCAGTCGCTCTTAATGCCATTTCAAACAAAGAAGCTTGTGTAACCACAATAATTAGTTGGAACACAAGTTTAAAAGCAGCTGTGTTTATTTATTTTTTTTTTTTACTTTTGCAACTTAAAATGGGTGAAACATTTTCGCTTCATTTGCATGTCGATATTGCGTGGTCGACCACATAAGATGTCAATCAATAGTCCTGTCTTTGTCTTTTTTTTTTATTTTTTTTTTAAACTCAACACTGACTGGTTTCTTTTCTTCTCCAAACACAGGCGTCTGGAATGACAGTCACTGACAAAGTCAAGACACAGTTTGACAAGATGAAAGTGAACAAGGCGGCCGACGACAGTGACAAGCGCATGCGACTGGTGACATGTACCATCCAGGACGATGTCATCGACGTGAAAAACATATACACCCAAGAGATGCTGGGCAAAGGTGATCTCCCGGAGGATGCCTACCAGCTCCTGGTGTCTCTGATGGTTGAAGACAAATGCTTCTACGCGCTGTATGACTGCCACTTAGAAACCAGTGAAGGAATTAAAAAGGAGGAGCTGGTCTTCGTGACATGGTAGGTCACTTTTTTTTTTTTTTTCCCTTCTATCTGTGATCGTAACTGCCATTAGACTGCAGAGAGGTGGTTTAAATATAATCTTGGTGAAGTTGTCAGATGTTTGAGTACTTAATTCAGCTGAAGTGTGTGTTTGGACTTTGTTAATGATTTCTCCTCATTTCAGGATTCCAGATGACATTGCGATCAAACACAGAATGGTCTACGCTTCATCCAAAGAGAATGTCAAGAACGCTTGCAAGGGTATGTTGTTTCCCCGTTACTTTCTTCAAATGTTATCGCTGTCTTGCAAATGTCAACCACTTGAATTCCAAGTTGAACGGCAGTCCTTAACTTATCACAACAACTGTTGTCTTCAACAGGTTTCAAACACGAGGTGAGTGTGAACGACAAGTCAAAGGTCGTCACTAGGGAGGCTTTTGCAGAATGTTTGGAAAAACTCACGCCTGCAGTTGTATCTCTTGAGGGTGTACGTCTGAGTGGAAAAAAATAAACCACCTGAAAACCATGAGTCTTCCCTCTTCATCACAAGGTCGACTTCAAGGGAGTTCAGGGGATTATGTGAAAGTTTGTGGATGAGTTCAACAACACACGGTTGGACTCTGATTAAGTTCCTGTTACTAATTTACTTCAAATGCAATCATTCATATCCATAGTTTTAATTGAAGCTTGTCTCTTGGTACATGTTTATTTCACAAACTTGTGTCTGCTGTTTTTACGTAGCATAGAAAACAAACTAGGCTTTTTATTGGAACAAGATCAAAATGGTTGGGCCTGTATGTTTGGTAAAAATCTGTTTTCTTCTGGACTCCTGTTAAAATAAAAAAAAATGTCAAGTGTCACTAAAAATGCAGCAGTCGTTGCACTGTATTCTCAAATAAACTCAAATGCAATCAATTGTGCTGTTTTTCTTTCCAACATGAGACGGTGTCTGCGTCCTACTTCAGCAGAGCGGTTGGAAAGTTCTGCTTTCTTTTTAAATTTATTTTTAAATGGTGAAATGACAGATTCAAAATTACTGTAAAAGCTTTTATTAATAGCCCTGCAGGTTTTTATTTACTCACATCTATGAAATGACTCTGCCTATATTTGGGACAGGCGCCAACACGAAATGAGAAACCTTTAATGACTTTTAAATGGACTCGTGCAGATGGTAAAGAGTATAAAATTGTAATTTTACACCAGGAAAATATTCAGTTATGCACAAAGTTAGGATACAGTAGCTGATCTAAACCGACCTGCTGCACTGTAGGAAGAGAGGGAGACACCTGGCCAAAACAGCAAACTAATCAACCCTAAATGCATCTTCTAATGAAGAGCTGCCTTTATTTGCTAAACAGTGCAGCAACGCCCGGCTAGTAAAAGGGACTAGGCCTCAAAGTGGGGCCTGCTTTAATTTGAAGTTTCACCCTACTTTTATTTACAGCACGTTTCAGCAGCAAGGTGATTCATAGTGCTTCACATATGACGTAAAGCATCATGAAAAAGAAAAAATAGACATCAATGAAAGTTTAAGGTTAAATGTTAGGGTTACCTCGACGCAGGTGACCTGGGTTTGAGTCCAACCTGGGATGCATAAAGAGTTCCTTTTAAGTTTGGAGCCAAATTTAACATTAATTTCAGTCCATTACTATAACCTCTAGGCCTGCTGTAACTTTAATATTGCCTTCATTTGGGAACTTTCATTAGCCTTTTTTTTACATTTTAAAAGTGAGATTTTCTTTGTTGACTTAGTTGTAGATTTTAGTAGTATTAGAAGTATTCTGTCAAACTTCCTAATTTTTCACTTTAAAATAAAATTAAAGCCACATCTGGTTTGGAAATAATTAAATAAATAAATACAAAACCCGGAAGCCAGAGTTAAAATAGTAACGTCCGCTGCATTCACGTGATGTCGGACATTTAAGGTTCTCGCTGGGAAACAGTCAAATGACGGCTCCCTCAAGTTAAAATAACGGCTCAGAAAGGTTATGGTAGGCCAACACGACTTGACAATACGTCAGAATCGACGTCACATACACTGAGACACCGAAGACCAGCCGTAACTTTGGGTGATTGCAACAACAAAAAAGGTTTTTGTTATATGTTATGCTCATTTTCCTAATAGCAATAGCTAACCATTGCTCTTTGTAGACTGAGAGGGGGCAGGTGGAGTGAAGAAGAGCACCTATATACACACGATGAAGTTTTATTTTTACAGCGTTTATGTAGTTTCCGCATTGCTCTTGAACACACCACGGGCAGAAAAACAACACGTCAACACCCGGAAGTAGGGCTTTCCCGCCGTCCGCGCGCAACATATCTGCCTCCGACAGCTTCTGTTTCCTTTCAAACTGATAATGATCTTTTATCATTTTAACATTTTAACACAGTTATGTGTTAAACGCAGTCCTTACGGGGGTTTCTCACCTAAATGGAGCAGTGACTGATTGTCCAGGTTTGTCCGACCACGTCACACCTCCGCGTGGCTTTAGCGGGGCTCGCAGGGGGCGGGGCTTAACGGAGAAAGACGACCATAAATGGCTGTTTTAAAAACCCGGAAAACAAACTTCATGTTGAAATGTACTTCCTTGTCTCGGCAGATTTCACACCCCATGAAACCACGAGGCCTCTTCAAACCACACCTACGCTGTGTTTCTTCTTCTTCATCACAAAGAAACCATAAAAACTATTTAGGACTGAATAAGTCCAGACTTTATCTACTTTATTTATTTACATTTGTCTTTATTTATCTACTGTCAAGAGTTTTTAGCTGGTTATCAGAGGTTCAAATTAATACTAGAGCTTCTTTATGAGCTACAAAAGCAAACAAGACCATCAGGTCCGAGGTTGATCTTTTCTTTAGTACATTTGTATTCTCTGAAGCGCTACAAGGGGGGGAGGTGCCAGACAAATGTTGTGTCTGTAACCACACTAAAGTACCGCCTACTACCTGTAGCGCTCAACAGTGACCGCCCACTTTATCGGTGACTCTGGTTCCGGAAGTCCCTGTTCAAATCCTCCATTGATTCTTCACAAAATCCTTATATTAACAGATTACAGATGGACAATCAGCTACCCCAACATATGCGACTATATTACATTTAATTCGGCACCAAAACGGCATTAATAAACGTACAAGCCTGTGTACATCATTTTCGTCCGGAGTCAAGGAACTACCCATCCCACAATCCATTGCGAATGAGATCGTTTCTTCTTAAAAGCAACTTTAGTCGTTATAGTCGTTAGTGGCTTTTAGTCCCAAGGTGCAAAAATGAAGCGTTACAAATACAGATTTGTTCCTGCTGCTATCATGGAGCTGGACGAGCTGTAGACATATTTGCAAATACACTTTTATTTATGTTCAGAAATGTATTTTTATTCTGCCTGAGAGAGATTCATTATTTGTTTTTAATTGATCTTATCGGTTGAGACTTCTCTCTCCCTCATGCCCTGATTGGCTGAGCCTTCAGTACTTTTATCATTTTTCAGGTTTTTAACACATTTTAGTCGGTTAAATAGTTTCCCTTCTCGCTGATGTGTTGTCACATCTGTGTGTCCATCTTACTGGCTGCAAACAAATCTACCTACGGGAACAAATAAAGCCATCTGAACCTGATGAACCTGAAGTCGTGTTGTAAAGAAATTACAGCAATCCTGGGTCAACCATCAGAAGCACTAAAGAGAGAATATCTAACCTCTGTTCTGCTGTCTGATGAAAATCTGTAAGGATGTGGTAACACTTCCTGTCAGAAACTCAAGGTTTCCTCTATGCAGCAGTAATGAAACGGCTTTCTTAACAAGCAAGGTGATAAACTCCGAGCCCACTGTGACCATTAGAGCTTCACTCGTGCATACATTAGATTTTCAGTTCGGCCTCGCTGACGTCAAAATATTAGAAGCCAGATTGACCAACTTTTCTTCCTGCTTTGCATTAATCACACCTAAGTGTTTTATTATTTTATTTTTTTAAACAGAGCTTTTACTCCTGTTTAAAAAAATAAATAAATCCCGTCCACACACTCAACGTTCTCAAAAACCTCTTTGTCCCCAAGAAAACACAAAACGCACTGTTACAGCTGTCATGAGCACGCCAAGTCCAAAACGATGACCTTGACCTGTCAAAATGTTCCTATCATTCCTCTGCAACGACCATTTCATTTTAGAAAGTCGTCCAATCAGGCGTCTCTCCTCGTCAACACAGTGGGAGAGTAACTGTGTATGTTTGTGTGTGAGTGTGTAAAAAGTCCAGTTTGCAACGTTAGCACCAGCGCTAGTTTGGTTACATCTGCCATCGCACTAATCTCATGTCAACTAAAGGGACAGCAAGCGTGACGATACAAGAACAAAACTCTGTTTTCCCCATCTACACAGAAACATCTTAATGTGATTTTTTCACACTTAAATATAATAGAAATCAAGTATCTCCTCTGAAAATAACTCTGAGTCATGACCGTCTACAGTGGGTGTAACACCCGAGTCCCACTGTCTGTGATGTTTTCAGAGTCCTATCTTCACTTTGTTTACATCGCCCGGACGGCCGGCTGACTCCTCCTCTTATGTATAAAAGTTGTTTAATTGAGGGACTAGAGGAAAGAAGAATAACATACTGTACTCACTGCTTAACTGTGTTTCTAGATCACGCTCATTTCAGGTAAATTTACATGCAGTGTGAAGATACCAGCATAATAAAGATCGCTAGCATTAGCATGCTAACACAACAATGCAGCGCGAGTTGTTTAGGTTTCATGCTGGAGCTCAAGGGCGACATCTGCTGGATCAAAACATCTTCACCCTGGAAGGAGTTTTACTAAAGGTGAGTTTTCAGTGACCCTAAAACTCAGTTTGTGGAGACGAGGCCTTCAGCTGCTGCGACACTGAATAAAAAAATGACAAACGTAGAGCTACACTGTAGTTTATTCACTCATACAAATTGTTGATGCATGTTATTGGCAGCCGGCTTCAGAGGAAAAGCAGGCCCTATAGGTAATGAAACATCGAACCGTAAAATGTTCCCATCATTCAACCACATAGAAAAGACATACAAAGTAATTGCACAGGTTGATGCACGTTTGACGCACAATCGGTTTCCCTTTTTAACACTGAACTATGGGGGAAATGTCTGGAATATAAGGTGGCGGGAGGGATAAATAACTTCTGACACAGCCAGAATCGTTGATGGAATGTGGGGTTTCAATAAAGATCGTAGCAGGAGTCGCTCGTCAAATCTCACCATGAAATGTTCATCATATCAAACATTTGATTTTCCTACAGTTGCAACAAATGCAATCAACTACAGTACAAGAAAGAAATAGTTTTGGAATGCATAACTATGGTAATCATAAGGCATATTTGGCAGGTTTTCTTTTGTAGTGTCTGCAGTGGACTTCCTTCTCAGACGGAGGTTCCTTCCTTCAGCTCCACGTATTCTCCCTTAAAAAAAAACAGAAAAACAAGATGAGTACGAGCAAGGCGGAAATTATTTTTAGCGGTACTGCTTTGTTTGCGTTTTGGTCACCTTTCCATCCAGGTGCTCCTGTAGTGTTCTCACTGTGTCCCTCTCTTTAGTCAGCTGCTCCTGAGTGGCCTTGAGGAGCTGCTGGAGCTTGGTGGCCGCCTGGCCGAGGTCTTTGGAAAGCTTCTTCTCCTTCTCCAGGCGCTCCTGATCCCACAACACAAGGAACAAGAATTACTCCCAAAAGTAAGGGAGGGTGAAGCATTCAATAGATGGATCCCAAATGATCCTCATGTTCTACTTTCATGATAACAGTCTAAGAAACTTGAAGAGACGATTTGAATGAATTATTTATCTGATACTGGTGTCTGTAAAAACCTTCATTTCAGCCTCTGTCTGAAACGGTTTTTATCAGCGGCTGTCTCTTTAAGGTGCCCACTTCCTTCTGATTGGTCAGCTCTCTGGAAGCCGTCCGGGGGTCAGAACGCTGCAGGGTTCTCCAGTGCTGGGAGAAGATAGGTTTCGACACCATGTTTGGCTTCTATGCCATTACTTTACTGCTCACCGATCTGGAATCATTTCTGTCAATCATGTTTGATATTTATGCTTCCAGATTGGGCCGCCCAGGACAGAATACCCGCAGCAGCCAATGAAAGCGAGCAGACCAGATGTTGCATACTTTTACAGCTCACATCCAACATAACAAAAACTTCTCAACCAGGACATCACCAATATGCATCACGTTAGCTGCTAAACAGAACGCACACCAGCTCACGACGTGGATCGTCCTCCATATTTGTTTTTTCTTATGGAGGTCACGTTTTATCTTGCAAGTTTCTGTGAGATCTCGTGTCTTGTGAAATCGAAACAGAAGGCGTGTGGCCTCACGGTCTGACTGAATCATCTGGAGTGTGCGCTCGGTGGATTGCGTTGTTAAAAAATGTGTTGAAACTGTCCTCATGTCTGTGGTTTCCCACGTTCTTTAAACGGGTTCGGATTTGAAAGCGGTCTGAGCCTCAATTTACAAAAACACTAATAATTAGTTTAACTGACAAGTAGTCCTGGTGCCAGCTAGAGAAGGTGACAACGCTTAATCGTTTAGTCGACTTACTGCACACATCCTTAGTAGAAATAAAATGTCGACATGCAAAAATATGCAATCTATGCTGCATCCATCCCCCCCCGTCCACCCGTTGAGTAAGTACCAGAATGAAGGAGCTGCCCACCTTCAGCTGAGTGACATCCTCCGTCTCCGCTTGTGGAGACTCCTTCAGAAGATCCAGCTGTGCCTGAAGTTCTACTAAAGTCTTCTGGGCCTGGAGGTTGACAATACACAAACACAAACACACACACTTATGTAATCCCCCTGAGAGTTTTTTATCAGTCACCTTCCCTTCCCTGTGACAACAGATGGAAATTAACTAGCTAAATCTGGTACAAAGCATCTCTTCTCTTCTAAGACTAATGGGTTTTTTTTTGTACACTGTCCCTGATTCAAATAAACGATTAAACTAAACGAGCACATGACCATTATCTCTTACCTGCTCGAAATCTTCAGAGAGCTGCTGCCTCTGGGTTTCCTCCCCGTGCAGCTTCTCGGTCGTCTGACTCAGCTCGTTCTGGACCTGACGGCAGACAAAGAGGACATAGTACAATAAGCACATAAGCACGCACACACACACACACACACACACACACACACACACACACACACACACAGACACACTTCTGACACATACCCATGTGTATGCAAAGTGTCCACACCAACACACACACAAAAAAAGCTGCTGGACGTGTGTGCTATGTTAGTTTCTTCTGGGACTAATTCAGGTGAAAAGCTGAAAAGTTAGAGACAAAAGTTTCTGCAACACAAAAAATCTGAAAACAAAAAGAAGGTGTCAGTGAGCATGCCGAGAAAAGATAAGAGCGGTGGTTAGAGTTACGTCCACTCAGTCAGTGCAAACAGAGGTTAGCGTAAACAGCTGCCGTGTTGGCCGAGTACTGGAAGGACTGGAAATACTGCTCTGCTTTACACACGTCATGGGTAACCCAGTATCCGTGTGCTGTGGCAACAACATCCTGATTCAGAACATGGGCATGAGTACGTGTGGAGTCCAAACACAAAAAAATGCTTTTTGAAACTACAACCCTGTTATCAAAAAATGTAAATAAAGTCAGAAAGTGATGATTTGCAAAACTTTTGAAACTCCATATTTGAT